GTGCTTGAGGATGACAATAGGCTAACGCATCAAATTAAGGTGCCGATCGAGAAAATCATGTTAGGAGTACAATTTTGCCTGATGCCTACATCTTTAATTTTAAAATAAAATAGATGAAAAAACTGTGGGAGTTGCCAGTGGATCACCAGTATCCCCCATCATGGTATACATATTTATAGAAAGTTGGGAGCGGATAGCTCCCTAAACAAATATATATTCGAAAGATGTGGTTCTGATATGTGTATGTCACGTTACAGTAATATCATTGGAGTACATCACGAAGAAGCAGAGAAGATTCGAACTATGTAAACCATGTCTCAAAGTTGTGGAATTGCTTGATATGAACATGAACAGCAAATTATTTCTGAAACGTTACCCAGTAAGTACGACTGTTTCACTGTATGATAGTTCTAATAAACACTAGGAAGGAATTGCATTCTACCACAGTACCCAAGTTTTACTCTGATATTAATATAACCTAGAAACCTGGGGATTATGACATCGTTTCTAATCTGTTGTGAGATGGCATTTAGGATTACGTCACCAGTAAAGTGAGTATGATTAGGGAAGGTCAGCTTTTACATTCCTATGCTGATCAAACTTGCATATCATAACTATCCGACAAGGTATACTTGCCAGAATATTTGCTTTTGAGATACTACCACAACATGAATGTTTTGCAGGATAGTTACCTTCATGATAGGGAGTCGAAGTCAATATCACACTAACGGCTGTGTGAGATTTAACTACAGTAAAATGTCTCTTACATATAACAAAAGTTCTAGCCTGGTGGTGTTTTTCCTATGGTTCGGAGGGGTCAGAAAGGGTTGAGTCTAAAAGCTGAGCGGTCCTCCATGTCCTGCAGCCTTCCATGGATTTCGACATGACATACTTGAATTTCAGTTCGAAATTCTTAACAAAGCTGTGTGACTGACTTCAAGCATATATTCCTTGGGCTCTAGGGTCACGCACTAAAACCAACTTCTTTTTCAACTTCCCAAAGAAGAAGCAAGCTTCCTTCAGACAGGTTTCTGAAAAGTATAAACAACTATCCAACTTCCTTTAATGCTCAATTTCTTTCTGATTACAATTAAACTGCAATTTCACTCCATTCTAATCGCATTTAAACAGCACATTGGAGATTTTTTCTTCACTCTCCTTCAAATAGGACAGCAGGTTTTTCTTCCCCAAACTCTGACTTCTGTGACCATAGACGTTAGTTATTTTTGTGCTACACCCATACTTCTAAGTTCCCCCATAGGTGGCTATTCACTCAAGATCCGCGTAATTCACTCCTCAAGAATTCAGAGGTTTTCCAGCTAGTTCTCACTATATTGAGGGTCTAGTCACGTTACATCACAAGCCAAGAAATTTACTGCTGCACTGGATCCCAGTTGGCAGTTACCTGCGTCCTGCTTAAGCAAATGAAGCACAGTTTTCAAAGAATAGTGAAGCGCACCGTTGTATAATTTTAGTATTTACTTTCTCACCAACTGACTGCAGTTAGGATGAATTATACTGAGAGCTGTCTTACCTTCTACTGGAAGCCAAACATTCATATTTGATTGTCGTGGTAAGTGATTTCAATGCACAAGTAAGAAAGCTAGATCAAATAAAAAGGCGTTTATGAAGTACGGAAAAGAGTGACGACTTACTGCAAGTGTATTAAATTATCCACCTACTTCTGTGCAGCACAAACTTAAGGTATAAGAAGAGAAACTATCTGACTTACCGCCTTTCGAACTAAACCCACTAGTGGACAAAAGTAGACAAAATCGCTATCAGTTATCACTGGAGTGGGTCACTAGAAGATCGCCGCTCCTTTCAGAGAACGCGTTTTTGTGTAGTATTTACGCGTTGATCTCAACACACATATTTCTTTGCCTAAATTGAAGTAGAAAAACTGCAGTCAAAGACAGTTCCAAAGGTTGTCCTACGGTGAGAAAACTCAGGGAGAACAGAGGACTCCAATATGCTAGTACCACAGAAATTGAAGGACAGGGGTTGAGGATTATTGATCAGATTGATTAGAATGCTGAGTGATGTATGGAAGTCAGATATCATCCTGTTTGACTTCTCCTAGCCACTAATTATCCTGGTCTTAAAAAAAGTAGTTCTGAAGTGATCATCACAAACAAAATGGTCAGGTGAGTAAAGTGTGTAGGATATAAGGTTCTACAACCATCAGATGCCTAACTGCAACTCAGGAACATCAAACCTGAGGAAACCATTAAAAGTTTCAGAAGTGGTGATGGGTGTATTAGCCAGATCTTCACCCTCTGCCAGAATTTCAAACAAAGGAATACTTCCTGGTGCCCGCCGTTGGCTGCATTATGTAACCTGAAGGTGGTATTCTATTCCGTCTGTCCGCACTTTCATGGTAGGTTCTACCTATTTGACGTTTTCTAAAGGTCTGGCATTTTCACTCTCATGCATCTTTCTTTACTCTGATATCGCTTCTTTTCTTTTCACTAGCTCTTAGCATATTGCTGTGAAACCTGACAACTCAAACTGATGTATTTCTATATGAGGTTCTACTTTAACTTCGTCCGCCTCTTTAATTGACGACTCTGTCATACGCGTGTTTATAAAGGTCATCCACTCCTCGTCTGGTTTTACACACATGAACCTTTCCACGGAAGACTTTCTAGCAGATCTAAATTACTCAAAAGACGTAGTCCTTTTAACTCAGAATGCTGACTGGATGCAGGATTTACTGAAAACCTTGAGTAACAACACGACAATGTTTGCGACGATTTTCTCTGCATATAACTACAGTTTGTTGCTTCACAGTGTGTTCTGTGTTATTCTTCGTTGAACGCGTTGATCACTTCACCTACTAGGAAAGTTGGACCAGCTCTGATTCGCTATTGAATTACGAAATCTCTTCATGAATTGAGAAGTTTACATTGTCTTTCTCCAATATACACTCGTTATGCAGCCAAGTGAGACATGCGACTGCCACATAAAGGTTGGGCTTACCATAAGAAAGCTCACTTTGCTCAACACTATAGCTGTGGAACATCATTATGTTGGGTGACTTAGACCACGATTGTCGCAACACTACTGGTGTGGCGTGGAACCACCATTTTATTAGTTTGGTCTTCCAGAAATATGCTAAGCACACCTAGTCAGCATCGACTCTGATGTGCGAAGTCAGCTGAGTTACGACTGAACTGTATCTAATGAATGATCACTGATGATATTGAGCGATGAAGAAATAAATATCTAGGTGTAATGAATATACACCGAACACGATGACTCAGTCATACCATAAAGTGCTCATCTGACATCGACCTAAGGGCTGCTATATTGAGTGGAGTAAGAGTAATGCGGAAAATGTCTTATGCCAATAAGAAAAGAACATGTCCATTATCCATACAAACAGTAGATTCTCGGGTGAATTACATAAAAAAAAGTATATCTTCCGACTTTTGATTTGTGAAACATCCAAATTCATTGGCTGAGGAGACCAGGTGAGAAGGCTGGAAATAAGTGTTGGAGGGGAAGATGTAGTTCTGCAGATTTTTTCATCATATCCTGAACATGTTATCAATACATCTTACACTTCCTTGTAATGTCTTTTATTTATCTTCCGGTTTTCCTAAGACTCTATCTTATCTCGAACTGATTTTCAATCGTTATGTTAAAACAAAGAATAAGTACTTAAAGAGATAAGAAGCTATAAAAAAACTGTTTTGTCAACATCTGTCTTATTATACTTCGTAGTCAACTAATAGCTGTTATATAATTCAAACTGACAGGTAGAATTGGAATTACGAACGTTGTCTACTTTTATTTAACTTTGGTTTGTATCTCTGCAATCCGATAAGCCGTTTATATAGCTAGTAACAGTTCATCGTAATTACTATTCAGTTTTTGCCTTATTAGACTGCGGAGAAGTCTTGTCAATCACTACTGGTGCAAATAAAGCATAAAATAACGACAGATAGGGGTTAGCAGTAGAATACAGAATGCTCGTTATATACTATTTAGCTACCAAAACCTCGGTTGACGGAGTGGTGTTTAAACCTCTGACCTACTTGGTTGAAGTCGATTTCCTTTACAATGAATAGCATAGTATTATACTGTTGTGTTTCTCTACTGAACGGCATTCAAACTGATCTTCTGCACTTTATAAAATAGAATTTTCATTAAAAAATTAGGGAAAAGACTGAACTTCCATGCAAGGAAGATGCCTAATGTCGGTAAACATGCTTTAAGTTTAAAATGTATCGAAATATTATTTCGCTAAAAAGACGTGTAATGCAAAAGCCAATTCAAGGTGTGAAATCTAAGTAATCCAAAATCGAAAAAAAAGAAACACATCCGGCAACCTTATGCATACCTATGCAGTAAGTAGTGAGTCAAATCTGTTATACAAAGGCTAGTGGTATTGCATGGCTCCCGAAATTTTCCTCAGTGGAGCGGTGTTCGAACCTGTGACTACTGGTTAAAAGTCAATTTCTTAAACTAATGATGTGGTTAGTGAAAATAAGATCAATAATAATAAATTGTCAGGATAAAAAAGAGAATTCTCTAATGTTCCATTTTCATCTATCAATACTTAATGCAGTTTTCCATCGCCTATTTTTAACTTCTAGTGATATTGTACATCATAAGAGATGACCTTACTTTAATGATTAGCCGATAGTAAACTGCGATGCATCGCTAGCCAATGGTTTAACATTAGTTACTACTCGGATATGCCAATCCAACAAATTATAATATAGAAAAAGTAGGATGTGAACAGAAATAGCCCTACAAGATTCCTGAGAAGGTTAATATGACTTAGTAACAGACAAACTAGCAGAAGGTATGAGAATGTATCAGTTAAGACGACATGATAAAAAAAATGCTACTTGCAGTTAAAATCAATGAATTACAAATTCAACCTTCAACAGGTCAACACTTTTGAACGACATATTTAAACATGGTAATGTTTAGTAAAAGAGTTTTGATGAGGTAGAACAAATGTAAATATCATTAGGGTAAAGGCTTTAATTTGAACCAGTTCGAATAATTTTCTTTAATGTACCAATATTGTTCTCTTTCAGTGCATTATGACACATTGTTATAATAGTTGTTTTATACTTCCCAACTAAAAGAAAAATAAGTAAAAATAAATTCCAGTCTAGCAAACTTGATTTTTTAGAAAATCCAAAAACCTAAAAATGTTAAAATATTAAACATGAGCAGTATCAAGGAGTATCAGTAGGCACGAACAACTTCACTTGGAGATGGATCATGAAGGTTATTTCTTATGAATAAAAGATGGTTCAACGAAATAACTATTTATCTGTTGAGTTTTGTAAACATTTTTAAAGCATAGTTAGTGGCTAGCAGTAGAATCTAGAACGCGGATTTCGTCCTATTTGGGACCCTTCAGATGGAAGTACCTGCCTCCTCCAAGTGGGTAACAGTGAATAACTGTGACTATTCGACTGATTTTCACAGCCTTAACGGTCTTCTTTGATATTTATAATTTATCGTTTTGTATAAAGACTACAAAAAAGGACTAGTCAATGTCATTTTTGTTTTCTATTCTCTGGTTGATTGGTTGGTAGGCACAAAATCTCAGACAGGTGAAAAATATATTCGTCATGGGAACTATTTCAGATCGTAACACTAAGAACTAAACTTCAATCATCATAATGACAGTATGCATTTATGGATTGCAGGTCACAGAAGTTGGGTTTATATCAAGTTAAGTTTTCCTCCATAAGATATTTAAGTGATTCATTATATTTCAGTTGTGATAAATTTCATCTACCTTGTCAAAATCTCCATATCACTACTGATCTTAGTTTTCTCTCTGGTTTCAGGACATGAAATGATAGACCAAAGGTCTTTTGGATCCAATAATTTATAGTTCGTTATTTTCAATTACTCTCAATAACTGAGTCTCACAACTGCTCTAAAGGTCACCCCTGTAGCTACTAAAATAACCAGTTAAGTTTTGATTATTTTGCCTGGAAAGGCAGGTTTTCATAAAAGAACGAATTTTAATTGGTTATTTCAGTTGTTGTTAAGGTGACCTTTAGAATCATTCGCTATATTTACTCCCTTTCACATATTCACATAACGAGAGTATATACTAGCAACATAATTAAGAGTTAGTTTGAGGAATATTAGCTAATATAAGTAGTTGATACACTGGGAGCACATTTCAGTATCCTCATTATTGCTTGAAAATCAAACTGAGGCAGTTTAGTTAGTCTGTTATCTATTGCTCTTTTTATGATTTTGGAGGTAAGAATTGTGAAGTATGACTATTCAATCCTTTGAAACAGTCTTACATTTTCGGATATTCAGTTTAATATATTAAACTAAAGTTACATTTAGACTTAAACACTTTGACCGTCTGTCAAAAGTAGTAATATAATGGTTAGGAGATTCTATTGTTAAGTTCACCAAGTGTTCTTGATTCATTACTGATATTTTCCTACTCAGACTTGAATTCAACATCTATGCTTTAATTTTTACATGATGATTTCAGTAATAATGTCCATCCTAAAATCATTTTAACGGAAAAAATAACCTAATACATATTTCGTTTAACCACTTACCTCTTAATGAACTGACATATTCGATAATTTGATGAATTCTTTTCAAGCAGTTCATTGAAGCCTCATAATCAGTAACTCTTGAGTAGTAGTTGGACAAAATATCAGTATTAGCATTCGACAACTGTTGGAATGTTTTCTTCAATAAATTCCTTTAAATGTAATCAAAAAATATAACTATAAATGTATAATGATCACAGAGATACTAAACAATTACAAGCAGTAGTCAAATAGTCTATATAATGATTAATCGTCCCAAGGATTTCATAGAATGGTAATGGAAAACTATCACTGCTCAAATATAATACCACATAATATACGCAGTTGAAAACTAACTGTATTGATAGGCAGCATGGAGACTCACCGGTTATGTCGATGTGTACTACACAAGCATACAACTAATATTTATCGCAACTCAGATCACAAATATGCACGCAAACAGGGGCAATAAGTGTACGTGCGTGTGTTTGCGTGTGCAAAAACTTAGTAAAAGACACAATACACACGATTAGTTCCTTCAATAAACTCATATGACTCAATGAGAACCGTGTGTTTGAAGAATAAGTTGAGATTATTTATTTTGCAGGATTTTCACTAGCTGCATATTCTGTGAAAGAGACGTGGAATAAAACCTGCATAACGCTATTGTGAAGGAAAAAGAGGAAAGACAAGGAATGGAATGGATACTGACCGACACATGGAAGCTGATAGAGGAGAGAGAGGAATGTGGTGAAGCAGAAGATGAACCAGTGTAGTGCAGTGAAGGGATAAGCAACGTAAAGGGGAACTGAATACAACCTATAAAGCACTACAGTGGCTAAAGAAGTGAAGAAGAGTGTGTCCAAAGACACTTCTACTACACACTTGCAACCGAAGCAGAACAGGCTGCAGGCAGGAGAGGCCTGACAACACTGCGTCAAATAACCACGTTGCTTTCTGGGAGGGAAGAGATTAATTCAGATGAAACCAATGAAAGATAGTAAAGGAAACCTACTTACCAAAGAGGAGAAAAAAGTGAAGGATGTGCTAACCACTTCAAAAAATCTCGAAACGCCACTACCACCACCTGCAACTCGTCCAGAAATACCACCAGCAGCCCGGTCACAGAATTATCACCGAACACAAGCCACCCAACAAAAACAGGAGCGAAGTCCTGAACGCCACAAAGTAGCTGAAATCCGGGAAAGTAGCAGAACCAGATAGAATTCCTCAGGAAGCACTGAGAACAGATGCGGAGACATCAGTAGCGGACATGCTCACACCACTACTGAAGAGGGTTTGTAAGGCAAGAAAGACACCTGCTGAGTGGAAGAAGAGCTACCTTGTCAAACTCCTAAGGAAGGGAGACCTAAGTCTTTGCAAGAACTGGGGCAGAATCATGCGCCTTCCCACCACAAGCAAAATATTAAGCCGCATCATCTTGGAGAGACTAAGGGATGCGCTGGATTCAAAACTGCAACCGGAACAGGCTGAATTCAGGAAGTACAAATCATGTGCAGATCAAATTGCAATGCTAGGCTACGCATCATCATAGAACAGAGTATAGAATGGCAATCAACACTCTTTCTCAACTTCATTGATTTTGAAAAGGCCATCGACAGAGTCAACCGAGAAGCAATTTGGCAGGCAGCTGCTTCAACACTACGGTTTTAGTGCCACAAATTTTTATCTACGTCATTCAACAACTATGTGCTATATGATGTTACATGCCAAATGATTCACAATGGAAGGCTTAGTGATGCATTTGGAGTGGAAGTGAAGACAGGAGTAAGACAAGGCTGCCGCCTACTATCACCGATGATCTTCCTGATTGTGGTCAACCGGACTGGATCATGCAACAAACTGTGAGGAGCGAGATGAGTATACGCTGTTTGATCGATGAAAAGATCCTACCTAGGCAAGGCAGCATCGTTCCAACTACAGGTGGCACAGATGAGGATGTCAAAGCAGCCAGGATCGGAAAAGCAAGACACGTCTTCATTAATCTGCAATCAGAGTGAAGATGTACTGCACTGCACTAAGCATAAAGCGTGAACAACATCAATATCAATTCAGTGTTTCTTTGCGATAGTTCAGAGATTTGGTGCGTCACGAAAAGAATTTCCAACTAACTGAAGACATTCATCAACAGCTGCTTACGCTCGATACTGAAGACTAGATGGCCAGAAAGAAAAAGCAACAAAGAACTCTGGCTGGCAACGAAACAACCAGGAATCTGTCGCCCAAAAAATAAGTAGAAGGAAGTGGAAACAGATCGGACTGGACATACACTGAAAAGACCACACAGGGATATCACACGCCAGGCTACGCTAGGCCCTCCAGTGGAACCCAAAGGGGAAACGACGAGTTGGGCATCCAAGGGTGACATGGAGGTGATCGTGTGAGGAAGAAATGAAAGCTTATGGGGAGTCATGGGGCCAAGTTGGAAAGACTGCAGAGAAGAGAGTAAAATGGCCATGTGCTACCGAAGCTCTATGTTCCACTAGGAACTCAAGGGTGGGGGCAAAGCCTGGTGGTTGTGAGGACAGTTACTCAGCGATGACAGTGGGTGGCGGTTGTGCTTTATCGTAAGCTAACAGAAGTTGGAAATATGGACCACTGGATTCTGACCCAGTGGCTCGATGGTAACGTACTGGCCACGGAACCTGAGAGTTGCAGGTTCGATCCTTGGCGGGGTCATGAATGCGCACTGCTGAGGAGTCCCATACCAGTGGGACGAAATAGCTGTCCAGTGCTCCTAGGTTCCCTTTGTTCCTCCAACTGATATCAGTCTACGATGAATAACAACATGGATAAATAAGAATAATAACAAATACAATTTTAATAGACAGTCGATGTGAAAACGTAAACATATTCAAAGAATTCAAAACCTTTAGGGTATGAAACTAACTTAACCTGAATTTAAGTACTTATTGGTTACTAAAGTTTGCTCAGCAACCATTATGTTAGAAAAAAATGACGAGACTTTACTTTCGAACCGTTTAGTATTCTCGAATAATTCCAGCAGGTGAAAGAGACTGATCACAGTTCACATGAAGTACATCACTGTTTAGGAAACCGTTGTATCAGCCAAAGCTTTCAATAATTTCATGTAATGTACACCATTAGTGTCCAGCTTACTATCTGGAAGGCAGTTAATTACCTGTAGATTCTGAATGGTGTGAGTTAGTTTACAAAAATAGCCATAAAACTTGCATACATTTTACAGGGATGATTCATACAAACCATATAGGACCTCAATAACCTGGATATATGAAATAATGAGAAAGTAAACTAATACTGATTCAAAACAAATTCTGTTTATATTTCTTTGGGCTGTCAGGTTTCTACAATATTGTGGGTTACTATGAACAAAAACACCTAGAAATCTGCTTACCAATTACCATTCAGTCTATAATCTTCTGCTCTAACAATTAAATGTTTTACAGTATCTGTTTTACTGACCATATCCACCGATACCTGTTGCTGAGTTGAAGAGTACGCACTAGACTAATGAATAAAAAGAGCAAAACAAAGAACGTATATTTAATGTTTCGATGAGAAATAACATGCATAGAAAAAGTAAACAGCTTTTTTCGTGTTATTGTGTTATCCATATTCTTCACTTTGTATCTGACGTTACGTAACATTATAATCACGCTCTTGTGCACCCCAAGCAAAAACTACAACCAGAACAGGCTGGATTAAGGAAGTACAAATCATGTGCGGACTAAATTGCAACGCTACGCTACGCATCATCATAGAACAGAGTATAGAATGTCAGTCAACCCCCTACCTCAACTTCATCGACTTTGAGAAGGCATTTGACGGCGTCGACTGAGAAGTAATTTGGCAGTTGCTTCAACACTACGGAATACGGCAAACTTTTATCAGCCTCATTCAACAACTATATGAAGCCGCCACATGCCAAGTGATCCACAAAAGGAAGCTCAGTGATGCTTTTGAAGTGAAGACAGGAGTGAAACAAGGCTGCCTAATATCACCCATGACATTCCTGATTGTAGTAGACTAGATCATGCAACAAACAGTGAGGAAAGAGAAGAGAGAGATACGCTGACCGGACCACGGTAAAGAACCTAGAACACTTGGATTTCGCCACCAATGATGACTTGTGTCTAATGTCACACAAACTTGAAGATTTACAAGAGAAAACTAACAAGTTGACAGAAGAGGTAGGGTGGTGAAGACGGGACTTCAAGTGAACGTAGAGAAGACAGAGGTGATGAAGATAACCAACCAACAACTCCACCAACAACAACAAGCTCCAACCGCCATCAAAGGGAGAAACCTAAAGGAAGTAGCTTCCTTCACCTATCTGCCTAGGCAGCACTGTTTCAACTATAGGCGCCACAGACGAGGACGTCAACGCCAGCCAGGATCAGGAAGACAGCAAGACAGGCGTTCATTAGCCTGAAACCAGTGTGGAGATCTTCTGCACTCAGCATGTGTAACAAGATCCGGATTTTCAACACTAATTCAGTCAAGTCAGTGGTTCTATGTGATGGTTGAGAGACGTGGCGTGTTACGAAAGGCATTTCCAACAAACTTCAGACTTTCATCAACAACTGCCTACGCTGGCTCGATACTGAGGATCAGATGGCCAGAAATAATGAGTAACAAGGAACTCTGGCTGTTAACGAAGCAACCAAGAAGCTCTCGCTCAACAAATATGCAGAAGGAAATGGAGATTGATTGGGCATACAGTGAGAAGGCCGATTGGAGACATCACGCGCCAGACCAGTCGGTCGAGTGGAATCCGAATGGGGAACGACGATTTGGTCGTTCGAGGTAAGGGTGACATGAATGAGATCGTGTGAGGAAGAAATGAGAGCTTGTGGGTTGTCGTGAAGCCAGGTTCAAAAGATTTCAGTGAGCAGAGCGCATTGGAGACGTGCTACTGAAGCCCAATGTTCCATTAGGAACCCAAGGGACAAATAAAATAACAATAATAAAAATGATAACCAAATAGAATACAGCATAGTGTCAGATTCCCAGCTCAGTAGTCATTAAAGAGTTACGTTGGTTCTTGCTCAACAATCTTATGTTTGAGCAACGAATATTTGTTAAATTTCCAAGACGTTTTCATTTAGAAACTTCTAGTGCTTTTCATTAGTCAGTGCACTAACCTTGCCTTAAGTAATTGGTATTAAAATCTGTCTCAGACTTTGTAATTATTGGCAGTCATCAGAAAAACGTTTATATAACTGTTGCAAACTGATACGGACACTTGTATAACGGTGGATTGGAAAAGTTGTTTTTAAGTTCTTCATTCTGTAACTGACTTTTTAAAAGAGTAGATAAATTAGTTGATTGGAGGCAACTAGCAAGAAGCCTTGGACCCAGGTTCCGTGCTTGTTGGCACTAGTCTGGAACCTTTAGTGAATTGATGTCCCCTGGGAGATTCGAACCGACGTCACTTAGTGTTGTTGTTGGACTGAGCTATTCGGGATGCGATTGAGATCCTGGAGGACTGAATTACAAACATTGATTCATCACAGGAGAGCAACCAGTCTCATGCTGTCTAGTCCTGAATGCTGAACGAAGTCTATCGTGGCCTGAATAGATCAGTGGTAACGTTGCTGACTGCAAGACTAGGTGACGGGATTTCGAATCTCATATGCCAGATTAGTCCCCTCAAGGTTGTAGATATACCTTGGTGACAAGTGTCAACAAGCACGAAACCTATGTCCAAGGATTCCTGACAAATGCCTCTAACTAGATAACACCCATCAAAGTGCTCCAGGACGGTAAGCATTGTAGTTTGATGGTCACATGGCAAAATGATCGATAGAATTCGGTTAACGCTCAGGAGTAGACAATATGAGATTGGTGGCCCTCCTACGATCGATCAATGTAGAGCAGGCAAACATTTGTAATTTGTTACTGGAAAGAAAGTAATCTTATACTGCCTTCTACTTAGATGCGTTTTTTTGATCTAGGAGTTTGATATTCGACCATTTGGTCGCGAGTTAGAAATCTGCTTCATGTAGCATCATCAGTCCTCATGCAATAGACGTGGATCATTGCCGCTTGTGAGGACATACACGTAGTGGCTGAGAGAGTTCTGCTATTATTCAGTAATAACTGAATCCTCTGAGTGAAAATGTATTTTATCTTAATTCAAATTCATCGAGTCTTTCGGTGAAATTAACAAACACAGTCAATAAACTTGGGATCCCACTTAAAAATTTAAAGTAAAGCAGTGCGATGTTTCAGTTAGATATCACTTTATGTATATAGTAAGTTCAACACTTACCATTTCAATTAATTCCTCGAGTGTGTTGAGTACCTTTGGGAAGTCGCATGTGCTTGGTAGTTCTGTTATACTGAGATGACGACTGATTGACTGAACCAAATTTGAAGCCAATTCTATATTTTCAGTTTTTATAGTGATCTTTTCAAATATAAACAAATATGGAAAACGTAACAACGTTTTGTACTGTCAACAGTCTAACTTAAAGTATTTTCTAACAGCAGGTTCAAGATTAAACCTTTGTTTTGAAATGGTCAAAACTCAGCATTTATTAACAAAGTACCAAGTTTACGTTCACAAAATGGTGTGATATAGAAGATGACTAAATATATACCAACCATCAAGCTGCAGTACCACACATGCGTTCAAACATGACTGAAACTCTAACATAGTGTCTTCAATCGGTACTGTAGTTGTATAAGCGAACTCAAAATCATTTTGAAGTTCATTTCTGTCAGTTTTGAAAGCCATACCGATGGATACATTCCTATACAAGCATGTCATGTCAAAACTAACAGATCTTTCATTCACTTCTAACTGAATATTATCCACTTTGGATCTTTATCTAACCCTAGTTTCATTTTATATGAATTGGTATCTAACAGGGCACGATATCAATACTATATATTTGAGATGTATCGTATTTTGGGTGTTCCTAAAACCAGCTAAGGGTCTAATAGGATGACATGGTTTATGAATTTTATTATCACCATATAGTGTAATAGGATTATTAGTATTGGGCAATGAAGTAAATCAATTTGACTCACTCAAAGACAGCTTCACTTAGCGTATTACATCAGCAGTAGATCTCTTTATCTAATCCATAGCAGTGTCTAAAGGTTTCTCAATCTCTTCAGATGGACCCATTCAGAAGCGTTTATTGACTTTCATGAATTTATCCGACTTGTTCATAGTTAATATTAAATTGCCCTGAACAGTTTTTGTAATCACGATGCTGCTATCACTTAGATTCTTCAGAACTAGTGCTTCTAGTTTCACATGTTTTGGTTCACCTTTTGCTGTTCGACATTTAATATACATTGTGCTCAAAATTATTCAGCAGTTGTCTTATGCATTGAGCTAAATGCTACTTGTATGTCAAGAATGACATACCTAGGTTTCACCTGTCTTAATGCTACTTTGAGGTTTAACCCTTTCCGAAACACTTGAATTTCGTTTTAGTTTAATCCTCTAGCTGAGAGGGTGATCACCCACTTTGTTCTATCGATGGCTGATAGTTTTTCATCAATAGTTTTTACTTTTTCTGATTAGGATGAATCCCTCTATGACCAACTGTTTCACTTTTAGTGACTCCAGCTTACAATCTTTCAAAATAACACTCCGTAAAACTGGAGCATCTGAGAGAATCATGTAGCCACTTAATCAACGTTCCGATCAGGAATATTCATGCTGACAACGGTGAGCTGATGGTAAGTTCTGCCGTTGCAGCATACAACAAAACGACATCAGATTTTCAACTGAAGAGAAATCCAGTAGGAACTTTTATCCTTAGATATTCGGATTCGCGAAAATCTAAAACTCGAGTATACAAAAATCCAACTCCCATAGATCAAAATCTCTGCTACAGTAGCAACGATTCAACAGCACTAAATCAGTTGCGTTAAAAGATAGTTCAGAAGAGTGAATACACAAGGTAGTGAATCAGGCTTATGGAGAATAGAGTAAGACTACATAGTGACTATTTTCCAGAAGAACAGCTATTCACGTAACTTCATCAAGAGATGTTTGTCGAATTGGCTGTCAACTGAAAAGTCACCACTGGAAACTAACAGACAGATAATCAGACCTTATATGCAGAAAGTCTCTGGAATCGTAATTAGACTGATGAGGTTTTTAGAGTAGCTGTAGCTAATTAATCCACAAAGTCTCCTTACTTTACGTTATTCAACCCCACAGACGAAAGCAAAGAAAGACAAACCAGAAGTTATCAAAATAAACTGCAGAAAATGCAAATAACACTTTATCGGACAGAGTGATGGCTTTCTTCGTGTCCATCTACATAAACATCAACTACCAGAGAAGCGTCATGGTATATCTTCGCTCCTACCAATCCAAATATACAGTTGTGCACATGAATTTCACTTAGAAAATGTCGAAACCTCAGGTAGAGGAAATACAAAGAATGTCATATAATTTTTTGAAGCTCGGTAGTCAGGTTAGTCAGGGATCAGTAAACATACTGATATAAACCTAATCTATTAACCAATGAAAAACACGGGAAACAAAATGAAGGTCAGCAGGACAGCCAATCAAGATACATGTGGAGATGATGACAAAATGTTAGCAGAAACGTTTATCTACACCTAACGTCATCAGAATAAATTACTTATGACGTTTTTGAGAAAATTTTACAACTCAATCCTTGTTAAAGTCTGTTCCGATGAGGTTGTCAAGAATGACAGTAAAGCGTCACAACTAAACCATCCAGCCCAGAGAACAAACCACCACCGAAACTATGAATAACCCACAAATCACTTTTATAATTATTAGTATTACCAGTTAACCAAATTCAGTTGGTTAGTGTTGTGCAAACCAAATAACTTCATTTCCGGTAGTGAACCTCTGCTGCCACAGCACCGATAACCTTAAAATGAAAGTATTTATCACAAGTTTCTAGCATTTAGGTCATCTTTGTTTACTACCTAGCCTGCTGGTACATTGCATTGGTGTCTCATAACTAATATAATTTTATAATATATAGCAAAACGGTTGCTGACAACACATATCAGTGACCGTATTCAGCAAAATACTTCAAAACCGCATCGAAAATTCGGCAATAAACTTATATATCTGTGACCTGAATAATGGTAATAATGATAATAATAAAATTCATGATATTTCATTACTAACTTCGCCCTCATTTGTCATGGTTATATATAGTAAATGCTTGAAGTTCCGTTGTTCCTGAAAATCGCGTACATGTGAATTCCGATTTAATGTATTATGTTCAGCAGAAGTTAGTGCACTTATTGGACGGAGTTCCTCAAAAAGCACGGACAATGGAGACTGCTCATCGATGCTGATTTTTGCTCCAAGAATAAAGTTGTGATTCAGCCAAATTGCAAGCTAAAGAAACAATGAAATTTATGAAAATATAGTGTTAACTAATGTGACCGAGTGAAGAATAATTAATGTGCGAACGATAATAATGTGATGAGACACTTGAACTGGATACGGATACCAACTGTTCTCCCTCAGAACCTCATACTTCAATGAGCCACGAAAATCAGAAGACAAAGACCGGCCTGTGACTGTAGAGAAGATACTTAATTCGACAAAAATGCATCATTTATATACAGCTCTCCTCAGAATATAAAGCCACTTGGTCATAAGTTGAATACTTATTTTGATTAGTCAGCTGAAGGACAAAGTTGTCCAATGAGGTTTTCCCTGCTTACACTAAGATGAAACAAGGTTTCAATGCAAAACGTTTACCTTAGCGGTCGATGACTTAAAATATTGATTTCCATTTAGGTTGCTTCCTATCACTAACCAAGTTTACTCAATATTGAGAAATAACCAGGCAGTAATTCCATTCGATTTTTTTAAAGAAAGTACCTCTCACAATTAACCTGCATGAGAGTTAATTTTGCTTATAACGGAGGGAATACTCAATCAACTGAAGATAAAGCGATAAAACAAGAGTGTGGCATTAATCCAAGATCTCGTCGTTATTCATTATTGGCTACATATGCAGAAGAAAAACATTCGCATCATGAATAATACAGTTGTAGCCATACTGAAGAGAAAGTCTACTATAATTAATTAATATTCAGTCACAATCAGATGCCGATCGATTCTGTGACCATATTGACCTAAGTTTAGAATTACTGCTTCAGCTTTTACTTGGAGCTACGAGGACTGCACAGAAACATATATCGATGGATTTCATAAGGTGGCTGAAATTTTAAGTCAGAGCAGTGCTAAAGATACAAATCAAATTTGTCTACAATTGCGTCTTGTTCTTACGACGCATCAATTTATTGGTCATTATTGGTTATGAAATAGAGAAGAACTTGTGAACAGAAAAGAAGAATGTTCTACTCAAAGATTAAGACAGCCGGTCATTCAGAATTTGTTGCGCGGTTTCACTTTTGAAGACACGATGGATAAAAAGGGCTTTATTGAAAAGCAAATTTATTCGTTTCCTTAGTAAAACTATAGGCATACCAATTTTGAATGAGTGCCTGCTGTGAGCTATGCAGGTTATAAAGAATCGTGTTTGCTGTATCCATTCTTCTGATCCTAAAATACAATAAACAATGGGGTTCCAAAGCCAAAACAGTAGAGTGAAACCTTAAAAATGTATACATTGTCTATTCCACGTTGACTTCCTATGAATCTGCCTAAAAAAAGTATCTAGTTTTTACCGTAGCATAGCTTCCAGAAGGTGAAACTTCAAGTTCGCCCCAGGTTTTATCGTAAACTTATCTAGCTGATAAAATCTACTGAACTCCTGAGTGTGAGATAAAGATTTCTGTTTCTATCTTGGAGGACAAATCTGACATCTATACGCGGAAATCTTTAATTGTCGAACATAACACATGCTCATTCTGCATCAGTTGGTAAGCATAGGGTCACAAAATGACCTCATCATCATTCCACCATTTTGTGAATAAAACTCCATCAAATGAAAACTGAGACAGCAACGCATAGGTGGAAAACAGCTTTCGCGTTCTCTATCAGTGAAGAGAGAAGTGTCGTCTAAAGGAACATACACCTACCAGACAAATAGACATTGTTCATTGAATGGATGAAGTTGAATTCATCTGAAATGCCATGGCTATTTGCGTGGTTTTGTCCTAGTTTACAGAATTTATTTGGTCATCAAGTAACAGCATGGTGGGTTGAGTTAACCACATAAAAAATCAGTAGCAGCAGAATATAATATTTATATCTTTTCAGGAGACCACATTGATGAATTATCATGAATGTCGTGGATGTTTAGATAACTTGAAGTAGATGATTGATTCATCCTTCCTAAGAATTTGAGTTTGAGTTGTATTTTTTTTAAATAGTTGGTGCTGAGATTTCTTTTCTTGTCTGTTAAAATGAGTAATAATTTGGTGACATAGTCTTAAAAACTCAAACTACTGAATATGTACCTCCATCCCAAAAGATCAGTAGTATATCAAATTCTCAAAAAATAACCGTCAGTTGGTTTTGGTGTCTTTTGGCAAAAATACTATGGCATTTGACTGTACTTATAATGATCATTATAATAATACACTATACATAAAACAGAATCATACTAAGAATAGAAAAAACCAACTGAATGTATGTTGTGCTAATTACAGTTGTAAATTCGGTTATCCTCTACATGAATAACTAGATAGTAATGCCTTTAAAACTGCCATGAACTATCAGAGTGCGATGAAAGAGTAAACCAGAAGGTTCAGAAGACAAGGCGAGACGGAAATTGCCACTTAGAGGTCTCGTTGTTAAACTTATCAAAGAACGAATTCAATGCTCTTGACGTGGTGGTGGGGTTTCATATCACAATGATCTAACGAAATATGAGTTCAGTGATGAAATTTATAACTGCATGTCGAAAGCCAGAGTGACATACACCAATCTGGGCTGCTTTTGGCAACGTCGCGACGTTAGTCTAACCTTAAAAGGTTGTGTTTACAACGCTTCAGTGCCAGCAGTTCCGCTCTATGCCTGTGAAACCTGGACGTCTCGAGCTGAAGATGTGCGACGACTCTTTACGTCAGGTCAGCGTTATCTCAGTAGGATTGCTCGTATCCGATGTCAACACTATGTAAGTAATTCTGAGGTAGGACAATGTGTGTTTGGGCATGATAGAGATTGTCATTCAATAAGTGCAGTCATCTGGTAACGCTGGCTTTTGTAGCTTATACATGTGTTACGTATGTTTTCTTAATGGCTTTCATACCGTCCATTGCTTGCTAGCCATGGGACTGCGTGAAAGAAGCTGGCAGGTGATCAGCGAAAGACGTGGTGACGTGGGATGAAGTATAGCTGCATCGGGTTGGTATCGGTTGGTTCATCATGACTCCCTAGATGGCTTCCGAGAGATAGCAGAACTCAGTGGCTTGAGACGTTATCAGATATGGCTCAGAATCAAAACCAGCGACGGTCATACCGTAGCTTTCTTCTATCTTTTAGTGTTGAAATGTAGTGAATGCCTTGTTTTGAATGTATCTTAGTGAACTGCCCTTCCAATCATTCTATTATTGTGTTTTTCTTTTTTACTTATCTACTTCAAATAGCTTCATGTCCTCGCAATTTTGTTATATTGTTTTGTGTGGCGCATCTCTTGGTGCCCTTGGTGTACAGTGTTTGTGTTCTAATAATAGTAGTAACATCAATAACAATAACAGTAACGATAATAGTAATAATGAGCTACGATGGTGGAACGTTTGTTTTCTCAAGGTCCTACAACACTAGAAAGGTCTGTTAGATAGTGGTAAGACAAAAAACAGTCACTGTTATGAAGTAATTTTCGCGCTATGATAAAGTACTAGGAGTGAAGTCCTAATGCTGGCTCGACTAGAGTGTCACAGCAGTAAGGTGTTTCACTTGGATGATCGCCAGTACCACGCTGATAATGTCTTCCATATGTGAAGAGAGAGTCATGGAAGGTCAGCACTAAAAACATCACACTCTTATTACCCCACGGTGTGCCGGTGACCAGGGTTTAAAGTCGAATGACGAATCAAAATCTCAAGCTTCCAATAAGGTCGTGTGCAACCATTCTCAAGCAGATGTTCCTCGAGCTCTGTGGCCTTCTTTTTTCAATAACTCCAAGAAGAGATAGCCCTCCTCAGTGTGGCCAGCCATGAAGTATCAACCATCACCGAAACTCTGTCAGCACTCAAGTCCCCTCAAATCGATTGCCACCTCCTATATCCTTAACTTCTAATCCCTCGGTCAATATTCCTATTTCATCTTTAATTTCTTCTAGCTCTGCAGATCTTGACAACGATGGAAAAGCATCCTTAGTCTCTTGAAAAGGCACTAAAAACTACATATTGAAACTTTCAACGTCTGACCCTCCGTCAAATCAATCAACAAGCTCAGCTAGCTAAAACTCTGGCAACTCTGGTCATAAATGTGTACTGTATTTGTGAGGCTCGCATATAACACTCAAGTGCAATTATTCACTAAACCTCAGCCGGTCAATATGGGGAATACTCGAAATTCATCCTTCGAGTTTCTGGAGATTCGATAGATACTCTTCACGGTCTTGCAGGTCTAGGTATAGCACTGAGTGCTCAGACAAAAATTTCACCGCTCAGCTGGACTTCATTTGACACTGGTCTGTGCACTGTTCGATTGAACGAGAAAGTAAGAACTAAAAGGATAGTGAAATACGCCGTTGTCTTTTTGTAATCTCTGCGTATGCATCCACTGATTGTAGTTCGGATGAAGCGAAGGAGGAATTTTACTAAAAACTGCCTACCCTCCCACTGAAAGCCAAGTTCTCAAACGTGGTAGTTGTTTCAGTTGATTTCAATGCAAAAGTGGACAGGATAAGTCCGGTAGACAGGGACTTACGTGGCACTTTTGGAATCCTACCCGAAAGAACAGATAACGGCGATAGCCAGCTATAACTGTGCTCAGATAAACACCACCTCCTTCTAGGCAACATAAACTTCAGAAATATTTTCTGACATGGAATCCACCAGCTCAATTTAGCGGTGGACGTAGACCATGTTGTCATCAGTCATCGTTGGAGAGAGTCAGTGGAAGACTGCAACTCCTTTTGAAACACGTGTTTGGACAGCGAAAGGGAGTTGGTCCCACCACGTGCATGCCCACGTTTTTAGGTACGTAAAAAACTGTACGAACTACACTACTGCGAGTACAGATCGACAATAAGAGCACTAAGGCTGATTTTAGCGAGAAACTGGCTACGTAGTTATAGAAACTAAACAACAGCACCCATCAGGTAGAAGCCTCACGCCATCTCCAGTCTGCTGTGAAAACAGAGATGAAGGCCTTAGCCGTGGTCAAAAAGGGCTAATGGATATCAGAAGCTTTTTCTGAATTGATGGATGCACGTGGCCCCATCCCTGCAGGCTCTGAGTACATTGAGGGGTAAACACAACTCAAATAAAGACTGACAAAAAGTCTATGCAATGACCACGAATATTGGTGGGCAAGGAAGGCTAAAGAGAGAGATGTGTTACGCATTTCTAGTCACCGTCTGCTTCTTCAGCCATTGTTAGCTGCAGTAGGTTTAGGTTAGAAAAAGGTCAGAGGTAGCCAGGCTCAAACATGGTTTTAGTGTATGAAGTCGTTGACTGTTGGTCTGAGCCACGCAAGGGAATATAGACTAGGCGGTTAGGGTTCATGGGACAAAAGAAACCAGTGGCTGGAGACTCAAAGTGATATGGCTCAATTGATGTCATTCGTGCAGATTCTTCCACACATTATTCTCATCTTAATCATTATACGCAATTCAACATTTTCGCCCTCTTCTCTTTTACTGCTTTCTACTACTTTTGACCGATTTTACTTTATTTCTTCATCTTTCGTGTTATTGCTTTGTTATTTGATTTGTTGATATGAGATGTGGCAACTTGCACCACTATGCAGTAATTCTAGGTCCTTGAAATTGGATATACACTTAGAAAGACAGTTTTCATAATTAATTTATAAGACCACAAGTCCGTTTTCAATATAGTGCAAATTAAAGATATATAACAACATCAAATGAAGTTTTATTCAGATTTTGCTTCAATTCCGTTCGGTAGCTCATATATCCTGGGTGAGATTACAGATAAACGCAAGTTTATTCCCAACTTAGTAAAAGCAGGTACAAATTTACTGTCGAAACCTAAGGAAATAATATTCAATTCTAGTATCACATAAATACAGTTTTGTTTCTTCGATTTATCCAACTTTATGTTCCATAAGATAGTTATACTTTCTATGTGAATAAATTTACAATGAACATTCGAAAAGATTTATGCAATATAACCACAAAACACATCACTGCATCTAAACTACTTTTCATGGGGAATCATCAATATATAATAGGAAGTACTTAAAACAGATAACAAGTTTATACCAATCAACGTACTCGCTGAGGACGTTCATATACTTTGAAAAATACACCTGATTGTAGCCTTTCCAAATCATCAGGATGGTCTGTTCTGGGATCTAAGCTAAGTAGTCGGTAAAGACTGAATTGTGGTAACACTTGTGTGCTTTTCAGTAAATAATAAGAATCTTCATCTGGGCTAATAAAATGTAAATGACGAAAGTTAACAGTCAGACTGAATAATTTATTCTTTATTAATGTTATCCAAATTATATATATGCAACAATATACATACAAAACAAAGAAAAACCAAAACCCTTCTCGCATATTAAGTTACATACCAAAAAAAATAGAAAACGTTCTCCAGTAAAACTTTTGATGATCAATACGAAGTTCAGTTCTGTCGCATTGGGTCGGTAATGTAACACACAAGAACAAAAGGGTTCAGAATCATCTATCACATTCGACAAAATCTTTCGAACAGAACTGGCACTCACATTTTACGCATACCTGAAGCTATGGAAATCAGGGAAAACAAACCTAGTCTTTGTATGTAGAAAAAGTTTATGCAGCCTTTATCTCTGCCTTGGTCATGTTTGTTTTTTTAGACTTTGGTTACCTATAAATTCCATCCGTTTGTACTACGTAACTTTTATTTTCGAAGATTTGATCGACATTGTTTGTCTAAATGTTTTCAGTGCCACGCTGGTGTCCTATCGACATTGAGATAATTGTTAGTATTGTCTAGATACCTACTAACCGCATGTTTCATATCCTAGTTACCACAGGCTAAATAAACCACCATGATTGGTTTAATGTTTTATATATGGACTTGGTTTTCATACTTGAATCTACTAAAGTAGATTGAATGTTATGACAAATTGTTTATGAACACATAAAAGTGGTTTCGTATATGTGGAAATTACTGTATATCAGCGAAAACCCTAATGAAAGTCAATTGGAAACGATATTGTTCGCTTAGATATCTTCTAATATTAATATCGTGAAAACACACTGTTCAGTAGTTCTAAAGGAGGGAGTATTGAAAAAGTGACACAGATACTTCACTCTTTTTCAGGACTCTTCAGCAATATTTAAAAAGGGATCTAGCACTTGGTTTTGCACTAAATATGCTACTATTAAGCCATACGGTTGGATTTCAGTGGTTCATATTTAGCAACTTCTTGTAATGTAGAGCAGTCGCTTCTGGTTAGACTGTATTTTCACTCTCGTTTTGCTAGATTGGACTTAAATTTAGCTAACTGAAAAGAATAATACCACTATGCCGTATATATGCAGGCGTTAATATGGTGTGAATTTTGTAGACAGACAGAAAATTAGTACTAAAAAAACACACATTCGTCTGTTATCAGATAGACTGTTAAACTCCTAGCTGAAACCTAATTTCGGAAAGCCTATACACATAGACCTAGCAGAGGATAGTAAAGTTATTTGTCGCATTACTTAGGTTCAACGTTTGGTTATTTCAAATGATTCAACACAATTGTCTTCGTGGTGGGCAGTAATACTATGTGAAAGGAACTACACCCAACTTGAGTGCGTCTGTTATATCTTGGATTAAAATTACGAATGTCTTCATAAGAAACGTAAACCCTTGAAACCTGTAACAACTAATCGTGTTGCACCAAAGATTTGAGAAAAAGCACATGAACCAACTTGTAAGTATCAGATTGGTTGAAGGAAAGAAAACCAATGCGACATTTAAATCTGGAAAGGCCTGGAAACAGATATATATATATATATATATATATATATATATATATATATATATATATAACCCTTGTATTTTGGACATATATTTGACGCAGCAATATATTTTTTTTACCTTACCACCTTTTCCATTTATCGAAATGCTCAGCTACCAACAAGGGTGGGGTCTGAATGGTTACAACACTTTCAATACTTACGATTCTTACGATAAAAATGTTTTCGATAAGTGAAATTCATCTTTCAGATGAATAGCATCCAAAAAGCCTAGAAGTATTCAAATTTCATAACATTATTATTTCGATCTGAATTTTCCGTATAAGTGCAATTAGAGCTACTCAGAAGATTGTGTATGAGTAGTATGTATACAAATGACAAAAGTGATAACGATTGATTGGAGAGGAATCAGACAAGAAGGACATAAAATAGAGGATAGGAATAAAAGTTGCAAGAACAAGGTGAAATCACATGTAAGTAATTAAAAATATCACCTTTTGAAGGAAATGAAAATGATGTTCAGCGGATCCCATCCTTTTCCCCCTGTATGACATAAAATCACTTCAGAACTAAGCCGGAAGTCTAATCCTTTTTAAATAAATCTGCATGTATATTCAAAATTCTTGGAACATATTCAAGCAGATACTAGTCACCTACTAACAAACTTGGGTACTAAGTTCCAAAGTACAGTCGTTTTCATCTACTATCGTTATTCAATCACTCAAAAGCTGTTGAAGGAAAAGGGATAAGGGTGAATGGCAAAATGATTGCTTACCACAACAATTTGTACATTACTGATAAAAAATTATAATATTCCATTGAAATATCAATTTGCACAATATGTTTGAGTTCATCTTCGTCTTCTGTCTCGTCTTGCTATTAATACAGTTATGTCACATTTTGAGCTCCTCTCAACAGAATAATTATCCATCGCTCGTAATTCCCTGTGACTTCTTCCGATAGCCCAATATATACTACTTGTGTGCATTCTTATCAGTAGTACCCACTATCATTCACAATAATGTTATTTGTATGCAAATGAAATCATAACATTGAAATTTTTATATTTATTGTAGGATAAAGAAGAATAATGGGCTTATGAAAATTCAAAAGAGTGAATTACTTTCTATGAATAGGTACCCCGTATGCTTTAATAAAAACATCGACTGGTACATCCTTCGGCGGTCTTATTTCAATTGTATAGCTGGTAGCGTATGGAACATTCGTTGGTGGATGTCTAAAATTGTAAAATGAGTAAGGCATTCAGTTTATCGTTCACATTTAAAAATTAGTAAATCTTATATCTATTTCAATGTCAAAATTCTGTCAACAGCTATTCCCGTAAAAACTACAATAATATGCAAATATATTTGCAACCCTCTAATCTTTTTAAGTCAACCGGTTCTCAGAGTTGATACTTAAAAGTTGGGTTTAGGTATGTATGCCTCAAAATCAGCACACATTCTGACACTGTTTAAGGTTGTAAGTACAGCTTCATTTTTGTCATTTTATACCTGTGTATTTTGTTAGAAGTTTTAAACTTATGAGAAGATTCTGTAATGTAATCGTTATAGTGATGCCTAACTCAAACAATTAAGAGTCATTTCTCGCAATAATATTAAAAGGATTCTTTTTAATGAGTAGTTTTCAATCAGAGAATAAGTCAAATTGCTTTCTTCTGAGTTTCCTAAGTTTCCTCTTGATAAATACTGCCTAACCATGCATACAAAAGTATATGTGTCGTCAAGTATTTATATGCATAAATGAAAAGTGCCGAAGGTTAATGTAAGAGTAAAACTTGAGTAATGTGGTAGAGTATAATTCCGTATTAGATTGTTTATTTGATATTGCACACAGTGATACAGTATAATTTACTGGATGACATTTCAAGCAGAATTGATTCCTCATATTCATAGCAAAGTAATCATACAACTTCCAGCATTTCTGTATATAGTCCAACAGTTCATTTATTTATTTTAATGGTAGTAAAATTCTCTATATATCTGCAATACGTGATGAGTCATTCCTGTTATATGTGTTAGGTTTTGATTCAATGAACAAAGATGTTGTGATCTATCTGTCCCTCTACCTAGATATATTGAATTTTAGTACCTTCACTTAATCCCACCCTATAGTGTGGCTATGGGTCAGTGCATGGAAAGCGATAGCTGAGTTTTTCTCTACATTACTTGTTTAAATAGAGTCAACCATTGTGTTTCGCTAAATTTCTAGGCTCTACTAATCTGACTAACCCAGATAGGCGGCTTTGGCCAATATGCTTGACCTTACAACCATAACATGGTATTTTATACATTAGGTTATTTTTCTGAATTGTGTTTAATGGATCTCTTAACCTTCAAATTTTCTCTCTGAGCAAGATTTTGGGCATAAATGCCCCCCTAATCATAGCATTATTAAGAATCCCACGTATAATTTCTGATGTATCTTCTTTATACGGTGACACTATAGAGGATTTCAACTCCCTCTTATACATATTGCAACCACAACTAACATTACCACTCTCTTTCTCATCAGTTCCTATAGACTGTTCTAAAAATCCCAGATGGTAGTTATTACGAAGCAGTGTCTCCTTAGTGTGCTTGAGCTACTTATTTAGGTTTTCTGATTTACTATTTAGACTCCCAGCTCAATCACTGAAACATTTTACCAAGCCTATGTATTATTGAGTTAATGTGTGTGAAAAAAACTGAATATGTTCTGACACCAACACAAAAAATATGTCATCAATCTACATATCACTACCACCATATTTTGGGATAGGTTGAGATGTCTTTAATTCCACCTTTTCCCAAATGTCCATAAATATGTCTCCTATGATAAGGGATATTGGAGCTCCCATCGCAACTCCTTCTATCTGTTTATATTTGTTATCTTGAAGTTTGAAAACCGTAGGAGTTAAAAACAATCTGATTTCTAGCATAGTTTCTTCAGTAGAAACTTTAGTTCTGTTTCTGAGTTCATGGTCAGTTGTGAGTTCATTTCTGATGTCCGAAGTGTCACAATAATTAATATATTTGTATAGGAGCTACTCATTTGAAAACTGGCCATCATTTCTCCCTCCTCTTATACATTATTTAATTTGTTTCAATTCAAATGGACGTAGCGAAGGTTTTTTTATGAAACTGACTTTCACATGTAATTAAATCATTAATGCAACCGAACTGGTCCAGAAAGCGTACTTTTTATGCATGTGCTTCTGATACTACTCGGCTTTTTATGTTGAAAGAGATAGAAGGGGCGCACATGAGACAGCGATCCATTTCTTTTTAAATATTAATGATCACTTCCTACATTTTTAAATTCTGTCTGCATAGCAAGAGGTAAGAGTAGACAATGTGACGTTGATTAGAGTAGAACTAAGCAAAAAAGTCCTAACAAGCCTCAAGTTATTTACTTTGGGTAGATAGGCTATCCAGATGTTGCGATGGAAGGCTGAGACACCAATTTACAAACAGGTGATCATTTTTCAGAATTTTAAATATTTCCGTTGAGGTATGAAAAATAAAGGACTTAGAGAAGCATATTTGATTTCATTGGTGTTATTCTCAAAAACCCCACAATAAGCATTTACATATAGTCAATGTCCACATCTAACGGAAGTGTCGAAAAATTTGATAAATTTTTATATATCCTGGTAGTTTGTAGCCAGAAAACTATCATGGGGAAGAAAATTGCAAAAGAAACATTAAAATATTAAACAATGTGAACAAGTGAATGTTTTAAATGTGACATACATTGAAAACAAAAGATAAGTAACACAAGACAAAAGGAGTAAATATAATCCAAGCGTGAAAAACACATGATACAGAAGAACCTGCCAAAATAGTCTAAGAAAACTTTGACTAGCCATTATTGGAGCTTTCGTAATACACAGGTAAAAGCCATACTGTTATATTCTAAAGCAATTTCCTGATTCCTTTTTTAACGTAACAAATCCCGAAAATTCAAATTCTTTTGCCAATTTTAGTCTCGTTTATTTTGTTACTATTACATAAACTCCCGATTCAAATAGAAACATATTCTGAACACCATTCTATTTCTCCTTGGCAGTTATATAGGCCTTTTTCCTTCTTCTTATTTTCACTCACGTTTATTTTGAAATAGCTGCTAACTGATTCCGTTACCCTGCCTATACAACTTTATTCCCCATATTATTTTCCTGACCATTACCTACCAAAAAGTATAAATTGAGTACGGGGTGATTATTGAAGGGGAAATGAAAATCTGGATGGCAACATGATTCACACTAATGGACTTTGGGTTACTGGCCCTGTGCTCTATTGAGTGAACTGCGAGACCTAAGTCTTAATTTTACTTCACCACCCTGTGAAAGAAGGCTGCCTACTATCCCTCATGATATTCCTGATTGTAGTAGACTAGATCATGCAACAAACAGTGAGGAGTGAGAAGAGGGGGATACGCTGGCTGGACTGTGGAAAAGAACCTAGAAGATTTGGATTTCGCCAATGATGACTTGTGTCTGATGTCACACAAACTTGAAGATCTACAGGCGAAAACTAACAAGTTGGCAGAAGAGGTGAGGCAGTGAAGACGGAACCTCAGGTGAATATAGAGAAGACAGAGGTGATGAAGATAACCAACCAACAACGACAACAACAACAAGCTCCAATCACCATCAACGGGAGGAACTTAAGGGAAGTAGCCTCCTTCACCTATCTGCCTAGTCAGCACTGTTTCAACTATAGGCGCCACAGACGAGGACGTCAACGCCAGCCAGGATCGGGAAGACAGCAAGACAGGTGTTCATTAGCCTGAAACCAGTGTGGGGATCTCCTGCAATCAGCATGTGTAACAAGATCCGGATTTTCAACACCAACGTCAAGTCAGTACTTCTGTATGGTTCAGAGACGTGGCGCGTTACGAAAGGCATTTTAAGTAGACCACAGACATTCATCAACAACTGCCACATACGCTGGCTCGTTACTGAAGCTCAGATGGCCAGAATAATAAGAATAAGCAACAAGGAACTCCGGCTGCCAATGAACCAACCAAGAAGCTATCGCTCAACAAATATGCAGAAGGAAGTGGAGATGGGTTGGGCATACAGTGAGAAGGCCGATTGGGGACATCACGCGCTATGCCAGGCACTCGAGTGGAACCCAGATGGGAAATGACGAGTTGGGCATCCGAAGTGAGGGTGACATGGATGAGATCGTGCTAGGATGAAATGAGAGCTTCTGGGCTGTCGTGGAACCAGGTTCAAAAGATTTCAGAGAGCAGAGCGCATTGGAGACGTGCCACTGAAGCCCTATGTTCCATTAGGAACCCAAGGGACAAATAATATAATAAATAAATACCCTGTATCAATAATACCAGTCTGCCAAACTATGGCTATGTCAGATGGTCACTGGTGAAAATAATCCTGTCGCTTAAATAAGTTTTCCTTGCAGTAACAGGCTGGTCAGCATTAAAGCATGCCGTAAAAGAATTATTTCTACACTTCCGGTCATTATGAAAATCAATAATTATGTTACCGAAAAGAGCGAATTTCAACTGACTACTTACAAAACATTAAATATTCAATGAGTACCAAATTTTGTCTGTTGCAACAGGAACCTACTAAATACGAATCAAGGCAAACAACATAATTAGATAGTTAAGGCGTTAAGTGAATTACATAGGTCAGTGATCGGCATAAAACTTCCCTTAAACAGGCCATTTAAGATTTCACCGGGTACATAAAACTGACTGCCATATTCTTCACTCATCAATACAACGTAGATAATTAAACGCCCGAGATAAATGGAGTATTCAACGGGTTGAATCAATTTTCCTCATTTGTCCAAATGAAGCATCGATGCACACCGGTCAAGAGCTAGAAATTCGCATTTGAGAGGTGAAAAATGCATCCAGACTATTCTGCATTAACCTACAGGATATTTTGATGGCTGTTTTTCTCAGTATCCTTCTTCATTCTACCTAAGTCCAAAATCTACACTCATTCGGTTCATAACTTCTGTTTGTCGATCGATATGTAACCTCGTTTAGCCTTATAGTTCCGTAGATACCAGCGGGGCCTAAACCCGGATAATGACGGAAGGTTGAGCATAGGGCTAGCAAACCAAACCCGAAAAACCAACTCAATCGCTAAAAAAAACTTCAAAGCACAAATAAAATTATACCTCGCTTGAATCGGAAGGACGAAATGACGCCGATTCATGGAAGCCTTCGGGAAGCCAATTAGTCAGGCCAATGTTTCTTCTCTTCTCTCGATGAAAGCAAAAGTGACCATGGGGACATGCAGTGTCCACACTACGTTTGAACATGACAAAGCTGTCCAGATTGCCAAAGAGATGAGAAGGTATAGCATAGAAATGCCAGACTAGGAATCTGCGAGGAATCGGCAGATGCAATGGAAGTGAACTCTCCAAACTGTCAACTGGACAGGAGTCAATAATCTACTCCGATATTGTCACCCAGATGACAACCACGAGCACACTGAGTTTTCGAGTGGCTTTCATCATGTCCCCAACAGCATCAAGGGCTCTCATACAGTGGGAACCAATCTCCTCAGGCAGGATCATGACAGCAAGAATCAAATCAAAAGGAGAGAAAGTCACAATCATACAATGCTACGCCAAGCACCTACAAATAATACAGACCAAGAGGTGAAAGAGGAAGTCTACAGACAACTGCAATCAGTAGTAGACAAGATTCTAGTTGGAGACATCAAAATTCTAATGGTGACATCAATGCCAAACTCGGAGCAGAACACACAAGAAGAGTACTAACCATGGATCGAGAAGCACTCGGTGAAAGGATGAATGGGAATAGAGAACTGTTTGCAAGCTTCTGGGCATTCAACGGTTTGGTGATTGGAGGCAATGTGTACAAACACAAGGATATTCACAAAGTGACATGGACTTCACATCAGATGGACACACTAAAAATCAGATTGACTTCATCTGAATCTCAAGGTGGTGGATACGCAGCCTAGTGGACACAATGTCAAGAAGGTGAGCAGATGTTGGTTCAAACCACTCAATATCTTGTGCAATGAACCTACCTTCCAAGTCAAGTTGAAAGCCTTCAAAAAAGTTGATGATAAACCACAGTTAAAGTTCGACACCGACCCAGAACAGAACCTGAAGCACGAAAATACATACGGGATCTCCACGTCAGACATCAGGACATTAGGCAACATCCCTAAAGAAACCTGCGTGAAAGAACACTTAAACTCTTTGAAAGAGACGTTGAGAGAAAGCTGCACAACAGTGTTAGGAAGAAAGAAGAAGCCAGATGAAGAATGAAATGGATATCAACGAACACATGAAAGCTGCGAGATGAGGGAGAGAAAGATGGTGAAGCAGAAGAAAAACCAGTGCAGTACAGTTCAGTGAACGGATGAACAACCAAAAGAAGAACTGAGTACAAACTATAAAACACTGGACAATGAAGTGAAGAGGAGTGCGTGCAAAGACAAATGACACTTCTACAACACAACTGCTAGTGAAGCAGAACAGCCTGCAGGTAGAAGAGACCTGCAACACTAAATCAAATAACCAGGTTACTATCTGGGAAGAGATCAACACAGATGAAACCAATGAAAGATAGTGAAGGAAAACTAGTTAATATAAGTGTCAAACTTTGGCACTGTGGTAGAAATTAATTCCATATTAGATCTGTTTATCTGATTTATAACGCACAGTGATCTAGTATTATCTAACTGATGACGTTTCGAGCATAAATTGTTGCCCATAATCATATCAATGTAATCACCAGTTACCAAAGAGGAGAAAAAAAGGAAACAATGCGCTGACCACTTCAAAAACTCTCGAAACGACGACTACCACCACCTGCAACTCGTCCAGAAATACCACCAGCCACAGAACTGTCAGCAGACACCAACCCTCTGAAAAAAGCAGAAGTGAAGTCCCGAACGCCTTAAATTTGCTGAAGTCCGGCAAAGCAGCAGGACAGTAGCACTGAAACAGACGCAGAGACAACAGCACAAATGCTCACACCACTACTGCAGAAAGTTTGGAGGCAAAGCAGGAAAGGTACCTACTGGTTGGAAGGAGGGTAACCTTGTCGAACCCCCAAAGAAGGGCGACCTAAGTCTTTGCAAGAACTGGCGCAGAATCATGCTCCTGTCCAACCCATGCAAAATATTGGGCCGTATCATCCTGGAGACAGTAAAAAATGCGCTGGATTAAAAATTATGACCGGAACAGATAGGCTCTTCAGGAGGAACAATTCAAGTGCGGATCAATTTACAAAAGCTACACTACGAATCATCATACAATAAAGCATGGAATGCAGTCAAATCTTGGCCTCAACTCCACCGATTTTGAAAAGGCTTTAGACAGCGTCGATTGATAAGTAATTTGGAAACTGCTTCAACACTACAGAGTACCACGAACCTTTATCAGCCACTTTCAAAAACTAAACGACGACGCCACATACCAAGTGATCCACAATGGAAAGCTCACTGATGCCTTTGGAGTGAAGAAAGACAGGAGTGAGACAAGGCTACCGCCTACTATCACCGATGATCTTCCTGATTGTAATCGACCGGGCTGGATCGTGCGACAAACGGTGAGGAGCAGGAAGATGGGCATACGCTGACTAAACCAATGAAAAGATCCCAGAAGATTTGGATTTCAACCATGATGATCTATGTCAAATGTCTTGTCGCACAAACTCGAAGACCTACAGGCGAAAACTAACGAGTTGACAGAAGAGGCAGTGAAGGAAGATGGGTCTTCAAGTGAACGTGGAGAAGACAGAGGTGACGAAGATACCCAACGAACAACAACAAGTACCAATCACCATAAACGGGAGAAATTGAGAGGAAGTCGTCTCATTCACATACCTAGGAAAGGTAGTATCATTTCAACTACAGGCGGCGGCACAGGTGAGGATGTCAAAGCCAGGATCGGAAGACAGGTCTTCATTAACCTGAAATCAGTATAGAGATCTATTGCACCTTACTCCACCCGACATAAGGAACAAGATCCGGATTCTCATCACTGTCAGTCAAGTTATTGCATCTGCGTAATGGTTCAGAGACTTGACGCGTCATGAGAAGCATTCCCAACAAACTGTAGACATACATCAGCAGCTGCCGCTTACGCTTACTCGATGCTGAAGATCAGATAGGTAGTCAGAAAGAAAAAGCAACGAGGAACTCTGGCTGGCAACGAACCAACCACGAATCTATGGCCCAACAAATATCCGGAAGAAAGTGGAGGTGGATTGGATTGGACCTACACTGAGAAGGTCATTTAGGGACGCTTCAGGCCCTCGAGTGGAAGCTAAATGGGAAATAACGAGTTTGGCGTCCGAGGGTGACATGGAGGAGATCGTGTAGGGAAAAAATGAAAGCTTGTGGGCAGTTGTTGAGCCAGGTTGGAAAGACTGTAGAGAACAGAGTGAAATGGCGATGTGCTACTGAAGCCCTATGTTCCACTAGGAACCCAAGAGAGAAAAAATAATAATAAATTGCTCGATATTTTTTTATTACTTCTTCAGTTACAGTAATTCCGTGATATCCAAATTTTATTATCCGATAATAGTTCTATCAACGTTTAGCGTAAGTAGATAATTTTCACTCTTAGAAATCTTTTGGCAACACTCAAAACTTAATTATATATACCAAATTATTATCTCAGATTATGGACATTGACACTGTGATGTTCACAGTAAAAACTGCTCTGTCACTTTTATTTAGATGAGTCAATGTAACTTTTCTAAACATGGGAACTTGTTTATGGTGGCGATTTCAGAATAAGGAATTTCTTTCTTCATTGATGTTATAATTTTTTTACGAATAAAATATAATCATTGGTTGATTTGCTATGGAGTAAAATCTGTTAGATCGTACTTTCCCCCCCCCCCCCGCCTAATAATTATCGTAATAATGTGAGTGAAGTATGCACTGCTTAAAAAAGTGTAATGATAAACAGTGTTTATTTAGATGACATCTTTTGGTGTCATTTGAAATGTACAAGTAAACTTTAAAAAATAATAAAGACTTACATAACATGACTTTCACCTTGAAATATACCTTCAGCAAATAATATCACACATCTAAGTGGCGTATCTGCAAAAGATTCAGAAATTCCTTAGAAATATTAAAGGAAATTGATTTTTATGATGTTATTTTTTAGTCAACTACTATGAAAAGCATATCGCTTTTTAATCGAATGAAAACTAAGGTAATTTAAACAGCGGTAATATAAAAAATCCTCCAACACGCAAAGAAGCCAATAAACATGCAGGAATATACATTGAAGTGTGTAGTTCAGCATATGAATGACATTTACTTGCTTTCTTCCCAGATTCGAAATTCATTAATGAACACTATATTACTTGACTGGACAAATTATTCTGTATCAACATCTTTCAGAAAAAAGTAGTTACGCGTTTAAAAATTCCATGCAGGAGTAACTTGATATATGATAATACAAACTTTCAACTTTTAGGTTTGCATGCTTTATGGCAATAAAGCGGTAATTGAAGAGCGGGGCACATTTCGTATTATATACTGAAAGTATTTTCAGTAAACTACGAGTTGTCTTATGATAAATATTGTACACTTTATTTAATCTATGTATACCACATTATTGGCTGTTGAAAAATTGATTCAAAGATGATAGTTTTGCTGTGAAGGTAACCTGTGACATAGATTAGTGAAGAAGAGTATTTCGTTCATACGTCTTGTTATGGTTTCATGGAAGACAGAAGAGCTATGTGGAAAAGAATTATGACATTCTATAGCTAGTGAAATCTAAGCATTTGACGATCATCTACACCACACTGCATTAGGTCACGAAATCACTCTGCATAATCAGTGGCAATGGAGTGAAAGTATTGCTTCCATTATTACTAGAAGTAATGGTGTGATGAACACTACATTTGAGAATATATATCAGTACGATATGCATCAACATCGAAATATACAAGAGGTGAATTGATAGTATCTTGTCACCTACTTTTAAAATACCTACGGGCTATAAAAAATTAACATATTCACACAGGTTAATGGAATCAACATACTTCAGTGATTGAGAAGATAGTTCATTTATAAAAAATGATGAGAATAAATTGTACAAACTGAGGAAGTTCGAATGAAATAAATTACTGAGACCATAATCAAAGTATAGTCAGACTGTCATTCTGTGTGACAAATCGAAAAGACCAGGTATATGTATATGTGTGTAAATACAAAGTTAAAATTTGAAAATGAGTTGAGGTCAAGTTGGTTTGAGTCACGTAGTTGAATTGAGGAGATTAAATGGGAACTGACTGTGAAATCGGTTGCAAAACGTTTAAAAGGGACCAATTATATGAAAATTCTGAAGCAAATACTTCTTTTCTGAAACTATTAAATCACCTAATCAACCAGTAGCATTACATTGCAGAATAGTAAGAATGACAGCGAAATTCAGGATATACAGGAAGTGTATACAGAATAACATGCATTTTAAGCCATTTTTAACCTACTGCGATCTTACAAATTACCAACCGCGTCAAGAAATACACGATGTCTCATGAAGTATCTCGTTATGAGGAACTGGTTGACGTTAAGAATATTGTATCTCAAGTCAAATTCACAAACTTCATACATGAACTGCCATTAAAATCACCGGAACTAACGTTGAAAGCCATAGCTAACTCAGGAGTGAATGAGATAATTCACAGATGAATTTCAACTGATCCTGAAAAATGTTTATTAAACTTGTTCGGCCATAAACTCAACAAATTTCAAATTGAATCTTTGTTACTTGGTTTTAAATCCTGCATCCCATATAAATCAGTAAACAGAATCAACAAGGTAATTCGATTGGAAGGTGTGTTTCAACAGTTATCAGAATCTGCATCAATAAGTAACGAAAAGTACTTCCGATCAAGTCCAGATTGTTAGATAAAGCTAACCAGTGTCATGTATAACCGTCACCTCAGTCGAAAATCGTGACTAAAAACCATCTTAAAGTTGTAAAAGTCTTCAGGGAAATGATCGAATGATGCTTACCGAACCACATAAAGGCATTGGTGTAGTAGTGGTAGACAAATCTAATTGTGGATGATCACTGAATCTTAAATAAAAAGGAATGCTGCAGGGTTTCACCTTCAGTTCCCTAGTATCAATGCAAGTCTGCCAAATCACGGCTACCTCAGATCGTCAAACTAAAAATCTGATCGTATGCAGAACTTGTAGTGTATCCGGGAAGACAAATCTAGATTTGTGCTCCAGAATTTGATCAAAAATTACCTGTTTAGTGGCAAAAAATGTGATTAAGCAACTCAAGGATTTATTAACCAAGAAACGTGCTGACGATAAGACATCGAGAAATGAAAACTCGAAGATAAGGACTGCTATTCAAATATGAACAAGCAATGATTCATAAACCAAATAACACCACTTGGACCAATTATTTCTATGATCAGGTTCTTGTGCCAGAAACTAGCTCCGTAATTGGCTAATTGATCATTTAAATGAAATACTACGAATCTATATCCTGAAAGGCATTTAAGTTTGCGATGAAAATAAGTGAGACCAGTTTGAGCGACAAATTAACAGTATCTTACACAGCACTGTTTACCAACATTCCGCTTGCAGAAACAGTAGATATAGTCTGTCAGTACCCAAATAAAATACATATGATGAAGGCAGGACTCAAAAACCTAATTTTTGTGCACTAAGGATGTGCAGTTTCAGTTCAGCATTAAATTATACAAAAAAACAGGTGGAGCGGCTATGTGAGAACCCTTGGGATTTCTTCCTGTGTATATCAGTCAAAATAATATGCATAACGGGTACACTGATGAACACATAAAGGTAGTTTTAACTTTCTAATAGCTAAGGCCTCAACAAATTTCAGGATCCCTCCCCAATATGTTTTGTAAATAGGTGTAAAGGAAGTAGCCATATCAATCTTGTGGCCTGTCTCAACGATATGTTTGGCGATCGAAGAACTTGGACGTCTACTACCAACAGTTATGGGTTCAGGTGATTAAACTTGCTTCTGAAGCCACTTTGGAATATGTTCCGAGGCCCTTACTCGCTCTATTGATTTCCATTGTTATTCGGCCTTTAATTCAGCCTTCTTACCTGACCTCTTTTTATTTTCTCACCCCTTATCTTCATGAGTTTTTAAATAAATACCTATGACAAGTACGTCCGTGATCAGATAGTTCGAAATGTGTACCTCAAATACATTACACAGTTCAGACAATTTACATCTTATTGTTTTGTCGAAATAAATCAAAGTCAGAAAACCTGAAGTCTTATTTCTTCTTGTTTTCATACTGATAGTAACCGGTCGCTATGTGGCAGAATTAATTGTAAACTGCACAAATTATTGAAATGTATACGTATTTCAGTAGCTGAGGATTATACTTACTGTTATTTGTTTGAACTTTCAAGTTAACACATGGACTGTTTTTTGAAACTTCCAAACTGGTCTGTAGCTCGGTATTCGCCTAGAAATCAGACAAATACAGCTTAGTAATCCAAATAAATTTCCATCGACAAAACGTACATAAGTAATAAAGAATAAAATTTTCCTGAAATTGGTGAGTTCAGAAATATGTGTACTGACATTATGTGGGGGACAAGGACATCAGATATCATTTCTTTATTTCAAGGTCCAACTTTGTTATACCTGTATATCAGTTTGCAACTAAAAATGACCAAATTTTCACTTTAGTGACAGTGTGCCACTGATGTGATTAGTTGACTAATCTAATCCCGTCACTTTGGTTTGTAGGTTACACTGTTTATTAGGTGAAAGAAGTTTCGAAACATATCGAAGTAATGACTTGGAAGAATCAATTTTGCAAAAGCCTAGACCATTTATAAACCGACTGAAACCGATGAGGAATAAAAAGTTCTCTAAGGTCAAGTCAAGGTTCCTGAGAAGTACACCATTTTGGTGTTTTCCACTTAGTACTTCAGAAGTGGTGAAAAGTGAGTTTCTCAAGTTTATTGGATAATATATTGATTTAACGAGAATGGAGTAGTGAGAGCAAGTTGTTAGGATTACTGTTTAGTAAAGGTTATAATATATTACAAATGGTATAAAACTGATGAAAAAGTGACTATTATTTTGGAATTCGATGTACGAAAATAAAATGTTTTAAAGAAAACTTGAATGTTGTGGATCTGGCTATACTGAAGATTGAAGACAAGCACTTCATCAAAACATCATTCTGCTGGGCCTAGTTATAAATGTATTTTTCAGTCAGATATCACTTAGTGAAAACTGGTCACTAACAATCATTTGAATTTTTCATCCTTCTAGCAGGGTAATCACACAAAACTAAACGAATTTACCAGTTAGATCACGTTTGAAACAGATAGAAGGTTTAAGTAGACATGGAAAATTGCATTAGTCAAACATAGCATATTAGATATACTTATATCATGTATCCACAAAATTAATAGCAGTACAACAAATGTTCAAGTCATTTTTATCTTTTTTTTGAGGAGATTGGTGCAGCTAAACCTTAGTGTCGAGAAACCATGAAGACGACTAACTAAGTTGTAGACGCCGTATTCAAGGTCATCCACCGCGTCCATTTACGACGATGCTGTTGCTGCACCAGCCTTTGATGAGTTATGACGAAAATTACGTTGTGAGCTTTCTCAGAGAGTTGGATACTTGCCGGAAGTCCGAATTGGGAAGGTATTTTTGTCATGGATTATGTACTTAACAGTGAGAAAAGAGATGGTTTCATCTTACACTGCCCCATCTGTTACAAGAAGAAATCATTGAGAGCAGGGGCGTTTTACAGAGGACCTCACGTAACTCTCCAATAAGTAAGGATTTCATTACTACATTGGGTTGTTGAAAGGCCTGCATAATATCAGCAGGAGCTCTAGCAGATTTTAGTGAATTTTCTTCAGTCCACAGGCATCACCACTGCAAAACTAATCTCCATGAAATAATATACAGGCTGAGTGTGAAGTTTGGTAGGTTAGATAATATGGTTGAAATAGGTGAGTGTCTTGTTCAAAAACGTAAATATAACCAGGGAAGACGACTTAAACAGAGCTGGGTAAGTTACACGCATGTCTTAAAAATCCACAGATTCCTGATATATATGACCGGAATTGAAATATATACATATTTGAAGGAAGTACGTTTTCACTGGACAAAGGACAGATCAGAAGAATCTGTCCTACTGGCTACAGAAATGTGAGTAGCATCTGGTACCATGATATACACACTCTGGGAAGTCATACATGCAATTATCTGGAATAGGTTATCCCCATCGAGCTACTGCTTAGATAAAGCACTTGGTTGATCCAACAACTGTAGCACACACAAACAACTTTGAAAGTATGTGGAGTCATCTTAGAAAGTTCTTAAAACCGTAAACAAGATCATGAGAGGATATGATATGGTCTCATATGAATGATTGGAGATGCAAACAGTGGTATGCTTCCAGAGATTACGACTCTGTTGAACATCCAGATATCTTAATGACTCATGTAAAATAGATTTATAAATTGTAAATAAAGTACACTTTTCTTTAGTGATTATTTTGTTCTTTATACACTTCATCGCTGTCACTAAGGATCTTTAAATTAATTTTTGGGAGAAAGTCAACCGTTCTTGATAGGTAGTGAACGGTACTACTTGAACAACCAATAATTTCTAGCCCCGCATTTGTGGACAAAGTGTTATTATGAATGTGGACATCTGCATGACTAGAAAGAAATAGATTATTAGCATACAAAGGTATGATGTCAAGATACCACAGAAAATCATAATGTACATGGAGTACATGGTGAATTTACAGCAAAGCAGAGAGTTTAAATATGGCCAATATATATAGGAATGAACATTGTTACCCAGGATTGGTCTTCACTGGTGTCTTGTCTAGTGGTGGTGAGTGAAGTGGTTGAATGTATTGAATGTATCACTTACCTGGGAAGTTGGATCAGCCTTGATGGCTCAATGAGTTATGAAATCTCTGCACGGATACAAAAGGCTCGATTAACTTTCGCTTTAACTTTTATGGCACCACCGTGCTATCTTATTGTCCATTAAGAATCGGATGTACTGAGCCACTGTTAACTCTGTTCTACTGTTTGGATGTAAAACATGGCCATTAAGAGCAGAGGTTATGAAAAGGCTTCAGGTGTTCAACGACTGTTACCTTCGTAGAAAAAGCCGCCAGTCGTGATTAAACCACGTCAGTGACGTAAAAATCAGGTATGGCCAATTAGGCAGAAGAAGGAAGTTGGTTGATAAGGTTGTTAACCTTCATCGATTCAGGTAGCTGGACATATAACGGGTCCACTTGGCAGTATAAACCACCGGCTCGAAACTACTGATGACATGGCTCAAAGTTGGATCTCAGTAGTGCATACATACCCATACACTATCCTGTTTCAATCGCCAAACTGAATTTCAGCATTCTCTCACTCTTCTTCTTCTGTCTACTTTATCTTTCTTTTTAGTGCATTCTCACTTGGTGTGGTAGCATGCATGACACTTAAGACCATTATGCAGCGGTGCAAGATTCTGTGTTGATTTTGTCTGTCTGTTGGCTCTAACAAATTCATGGGTGTTTGAACACAAAGCAATCAGCAGGGTGATGTACACACTGACAGAGAGACATAGTCAGCAGTGATACAGTAAATCAAACCGTGTCACTGTGTGTTATAAATCAAATAAAGAAATCTAATATGGAATTAAATTCCACCAGAGTGCCCAAGTTTTACACTTATATTAGCCATCAGCAGGTTGCTACACTTCACAGTAGCATACAAAGGCAAGTGATAGAAAAGGGGTAATATCAAAGTAGACAAGGGTGCATATTGGAAAAGGAATTTTACAATCAAAGTTAGCGAAAGTGTTAAAGCCTTAGAAGGTTTTAAAAACTGTAACAATAACATAAGACTGATGGATTGGAGGAGTAGATTACCACCTTCAAGTGGATAAATACAGTCAATGTGAGCCGTAGGTAAGCGGTCCTGTGTTCAAGAACCCGACAGAGGATGAATATCTGGCCTGTAAATTCACGAACAGATCCGAAGCCTGCCTGGTTTCCATGGATTCACTGCACTAGAGCTCCTATTAGAGATCTAATGATTACAGAAACCAGAATCTTAGACACTATGTTCATCTGGCTGATTCCTCCTTTGTCTATAACAAGAGTTCTCCCCTTTTGCGAAAACTAGGATAATCAGCTATCAAGACGAGTCAGACATAATAATATATATGATCTCCATATAGAAGCTGACATTCTAGTCAGCCTAACCAGTAGTCTTCAACCGCTGTCCTTCAATATTTCTAGTACTAGCCCATCAGAGCCTCCTGCACTCCCTCCTTTCAGGTTACTCAGAACCTTCTCAACTTATGCTGGAGACATTATCTCAATGTCCTTGTCAACATGTGACAAGATAGAGAGCAGCCCAACAGTAACTGAAGACTAGTTAAAGTTTTTGCGCATTGTTCCAAATGAGTCTCCTACGAGTGGTTCGTGGACCTATCTTTTTATCTGATAGTCTTCTCACCCTAGAAACGTGGTTCTAGATAGAGTGGTTCCAAAGCAATCACAGCAGCTTTAATAAATTAAATAACAGAAACACAAGGAATCGATATAATAGGATCTGTTCATGAAATTATTTCCCGACTGGTCAAAGACTTATTTACATCACTTGTAGTGTGAGTACAAGTGAAAACCATCCTAGTTTAATATATAAACGATTTAATCTCTACAAATAGCCATGATACTTATTCATTATATTGATGAAAAGTTTGTGAATTGTGAAAAGGATGAAGTTATTCTTGAAAAATAATAGACGCAAATTTTTATATCACAAGCGTAGAACGGAAACGAACCATACTAAAAACATTTCTCTATGTTTTCCTGCAAATGATAGGAATTACTGATTTTAATATCAGTTTGATTTGGAATATGGAAAACGTGAGGAGTGAGTAATTTGGAGATATCGAAAATAGTTATTTGCGTTTATTGTAAATCGTATATTTCTAACCGCTTCTCTAATATGTTTGTTAGTTGACTTCGATAACCCTTCATTTACTTTCCTTTTTGGTTAGTCTTTATTTTTCCGATGACATCAAAATACACCAAATAAGGATTGATGAAGTAATGCAGTATGAACTCAGTAGTTAGACCGAGGTAATGCCTAAATGTAACTGGTCTTAATAAACACCAACTAATTTTTTTCTATGATATATGAAGGTGTGCGTTACTAGCTAAAGGGTAAAAACTATAAACTCCGTTACTGAATGCATTACGCTGAAATGTCTTATTCATTATCAGCAGTATTAGAAGTAATAAACAGAGGAAACAAGAATTTGAACAAATGTGTTTGTAGATATAGTTTTTTATTACATAAAATTGGCAGATATTCAGATTCAGAGACAAAATCTCAACAGAGTACAGTAATAACAAATTCAGGGATAAATGAAGATACAAACTTACTTTAATTATATTGAAGTTAGCTTGACGAATCTCTGTTTTACTCAATTGTTCTAAACGCATGTTTTCATTGTACCTTTGAATTTCTAAACGTAAATTCTAATATTTTAAAAAGATTATTAGTCGAGATTATAAGACAAAACTATTAAAAAAATGTCACACTAAATAATGTAACAAACCAAAGACAGTCTTAAAATTGCGTTTTGTGCAGTGCAAATTTTGGCCCAATTTTTTCCTATAAAGAGCATGGTATTCTATTGTTGTTTCTCTACTGAACAGAATTCAAACTCATCTCCTTCGGTTTCTGAAATACAACTTTCATCATAAAATTCAAGAAAGACTGAGTTTCAAATGAGATACCTTAATTTCGGTAAATATGCTTAAAGTTTGACATCTGCTGAAATACTGTTTCGCCCAAAAAGCATACAGACGATTTGCAGTAAGAAATTTAAGCCATTTCACATTGAACGAAATAAAATGCTCACAGTAACCTTCTGCACATTCGGGCAATAGACAAGGAATCACGCCTTATGTGTGAGAGCTAATGGTATTATCTGGATGTCTAAATCTCAGAAGGTTGAAGCGTGTTTGGACCTATGACCCAATGGTTGAGAGTCAACTGCTTAAAATGATGAACTACAGCTCCCCCTTACCATATCAACTTTGTGCAAGCACAAACTGTCATTCCCCATTTCTCTGGTATGTAGCCACTCAACTCCAGGACACATAAACTGGTTGATCCACTATATAAGAGTCTCACTAATAAATTCATTTAGTTGATTAGACACCCTTATCGAAAACACTCTTTCAGATCGTCAGTATTTTATCTGCAAAAGTCTTGGATTAATGAATAAATAAACGAAAAACGTTCCTCAAATATAAATACATCACTTGGTTTTACTAAATAAGAGTAACCAATAGTTTCAGAGACCAGATCATTTGTTTTAAGTAGCGTTTAAACGGGCAAACTAGCTTAGAAACAAGTTTTTGTAAGTTAATAGATCGTATTGATCCAAATAGACGAGATAATTTAGTTTACTGAATCTCTCGGGATTATTGCAGGTAAAAAACACAGGTCAAAGTGGTCAACCAAGGTCAATTAAAAAAACAGGTCACAAATACGTAGCTAAATGAAAACTAGATCCTAGTAAGATAAGAAATTTGAAGAATAGCTTGACGGTAGCTATGCGTGCCATTGCACAATCACACAATAGGGTGGGAAAGAGTGACTGCTAAAAACCAACTTAATATATGAGTAAAACTTTTGCCCAGTAATTTCATTTTAGTCTATTTATTGGGAATACCACACACTGAAACTATCATTCACTGGATGACGTTTCGAACATGATTGATTACTCATATTCATATCATGATATGAATATGCACAATAAATTATGTCCGGAATGTTATCCAGTAAGTGATACTGTTTCACTGTGATATTTTTAATAAACAGACTAAAATGGAAAAACCAATTTAGTTGGGTTTAGGAAGAGATTGATAACAGAATCCTTGTTCATCAAATCAACACCAAATACATGTAGCAGAAGTGATTCTGCACCTGTCACAGACAAATGGAAAATTCTACTATCCTTATCACAAAGAAGGAGAAACCATGTCTCGAAGTTTAGGAGTTAACTCATATGAATATAGACGATCAGTTATGGACGAAACGTTATCCAGTAAATGACACTGTTTCACTGTGTGGTAATTTTAATAAACAGACTAAAATGGAATTACAACCCACCACAATGCTCATGTTTTACTCCTATACCAGATAATCTCATATCACTATGAATGGTGTGTTGCAATGCTGAATATGTATAGAACAGTACGAGAGTATGCACCTTTTTGACAGTGACAAAGTGGTCTAGACACTTTTATTCATTATAAAGATGGAGGAGTTTCCTGCGTATGGCTATGCATGCAGACAAATTAACAACGGCTATATTTGCACAAAAAGACTATTAACGGCATTCAATCAGTACTCTTATCCACGATGCAAAAGTGTGGAAAAGTTTTTAAAAATCACGAACGATAATAAGCTTTAAATTTAAGAAAAGAGGTATCCATAAAAGACTCAAAACTAATCATCTGAAACATGAAACGGTAAAAAAATCATTTGTAACGATTGTTTCTGAAAAAGTCCCATTATTAGTTGAAATAATATTTCTTAAACATTGATGAAGGCAGTTCACTATGTAGTATGATGGAAAATCGCTGCGGGTTATAGAAAAGGAAAACAGTTTGAGTGAAACCCACTTAGTTGTAACGATGGCTGAAATAGGAACTAAAAGGGTAAAAACTATAAATTACGTTACTAAATCACTGACATACTAACCTTGAACTCTTTCTGATCACAGAGGTTGCACTCTAACCCTTTAGATGTTGCAGTCTTTAGGAGTATGAGTAGCATAGAATTTCATTATTGAACTTGTGTAGCACATGCGTAGCTTGACGGGCAATATTAGTCAGAGTAGGATTGAGTTAGAAGAAGGCTTACGGTGAAAAAAATGAGATATTACACCAGTCAACGAAGTCTCCAAGCACCGGCCGCTTGGGGACTGTAAGATAATAGGAAACGTTTGGTGATAAGACTGTAATCGATTACAATGTAGCAGAGACATACATTCTTTGTCAACTTCAAAGCATTGAATATTTTCGATGGAATTCACTTATTTATCCTCTTAACTCCGTAACGCCTTTGCCCAATTCCGGTTCATTTCTCTTCTATCCATTTCTTCCTTGCATAGCCCTACGAGCGGGGAGGGGCGACTTGAAATGACGCACTACTGTACAAGGTTCTACGTTGAGCTGACTGACAGTAACCTTCTTCAATACGACTAACAACAAACTGAAACTCAGATTTTTTCGAACATAGGAAGGCCTTTTCATTTTTCTTGAACATGTTAGAAAAGAATCGTTTTGCACTAAACCATGTTATTATCAACTGGAACGATCATTCATCATACAATTCTCTTCTTTGCCTCCGACATAAAAACACTTCAGATACATAAAATAGAATTTTGTTGCATGTCTCTACTAAACTTTAAGAAGTATGACAGATGATATTTGAATTGTAATCTGAAGTCACTGCACTTAATTTTCAGACTATTGTTAACTCAATAAATTTAGTGAATGTTCATTCTCAGTATCGGTTGAATTATTTACAATATCATGTAAATTTTAGATCACACTAAGATTAACTACTTCACTTACAATTCAGTAGTGACTTGATTGTCAATAAATAAAAGCATTCGAGTTATATCAAAGTGTCACACCATTCCTCCCCCTAATAAATTTAAATAGAGCGAGGATAGAAGTTTAGCAAAAAATTATAAATCCATTTTATTTCAGTGTTTCTTATCAGCTATTTAAAACCTTAGGAAATTTTCATATCAAATGATATCAAATATCTACATACTCAAGTCAATTTGGCTAAAAAGTATGAACTTGAGGGAAGAATAACACTCATATGAGATTAAAAATATCCAGGCCAAAGTCGTTACGAATGAACCGAAAGAAATTGAGCTCCAAATAAGGCTTATTCATTATATAAGTAAGTTTTAATATAATCCCAGTGTGTTTAGAAAATCGAAAACAGGATTTTCTAAACACGCTGGGATTATATTAAAACTTACTTATACTTGGTGATGATTGAAGGTGAGATGAAGATCCGGCCTCGGTCCAAATTTTCATCTCAACTTCAATCATTACCAAGTATAAATACTAGTCTGCCAAACCACGGCTATCTCAGATAGTCAAATGATAAAACTTACTTATATAATTCATGTTAAATAATTGAAGTCTCATAAATTCAATGAACAAAAATACAAGGCTATCTATGTTTAGAAAGATTCAATGAATAATCAGATCGGAAACTGAAAGAAAGGGAGGAAACAAATGTAATCTTTCTTTTAGGAAAGGTTTCATTTTGCGTTGTGTGCAGTTGAGGAGAAACACCACAATGAAATGGATTCATGCTATTTTACTAAAACTGCTGTTCTCGATTATGTCGAAGTGATAACAAACCTTTACGAATATGAAAATACTGAAAGTAGACCTAGTTTCTATACGACTTTGGATAATTTTGAAGCAGATAAAACACCAACGAATAAATTCATATGGGAGAAAACTTTTCTATTCGTTTTATTCAAATTTCATCAAGTGTCAGTCTACATTAATAACATCCGTTCATCAATGGATGGATTTTAAGAAAACTTATGTTTATTATGAAAATTTTCTTCAAAAATCTGAAGAATAAGTGATAAATATTGTGGCGAATATATTTATCACATTTTCATTTACTCCTTTATTAAAACAGATTTGCAGATGGGAAACATAATGTCTGAGGAATACGGTTACTAGTAAAAAGCACTTTCATGAAAAAGAAAAGTTTCAACTTGAGGAAACAAAAGAACCATCAATATTTCCGTTAATCTAGATGTAAAAAAGCATAGATAAGAAAAATTTATCAATCCAGAAAACACTTAATACACTTTCATCAAAAGGATGTAGTGCACCCAAGATTACTGATAAAATCAAAAGATGAAATTCAATGTATACTCACCTGTCTTTTGGAAATTAACTGGCGCAAAATATCTTCAGAAGACTGACAGTTTGAACGATCCTTTGATTGTTCGAGTAGAAAATAACAGTTTACTGAGTAAAGTTACAAAAAACAAGCAAAAAATAAAATATCATTATGATATAAGCAACAATTTTTTTAAATGCCCAGCAAGCACAGTAACATTATTTGATCTCCTATCTTCAAATACAAAATAATAACTGGAAGCTACTAAGTCCACTGTTCTAGCTCAAAAAAGAAAAAAACTAATATTGATGATGGTAATAGGTCACGCACCTGAAAAAACACCCAACAAATACCACTGTCAGTCAGAAATATAAAACCTTCCCATCATTTCGGATAAAACCACCGTTTATTCAATGTAAATTACAAGATTTCACACGCTACATATCTTACATAAACAAAGACAGAATGTCAGGTTTTCAAACGCAAGCACAGATCTCGGGGTGATTGTCAAAATTGAATTGAAATGCACTCGGTGACTTGGCGCACATTCGTGAAGTGGGCAATGAGTCATACTGATTGTTTGAGAGTAATGGCTGCCCGAACTTTGGTATATGAAATGGGGTTCAAACCTGTGACACATTGGTTAAAAAGCTACTCCCTAAACCAATAAGTCACAGCTCCAGGTGGTGCTTGGGTTTGTATGCAGTAATGACTGAGAAAGATATCCTGACAGTTTTAACGTAAGAAAAGTCAGCAAGATAGTAACAATAAAAAAGCAGTTACCACAACAATGGGCATATATGAACCCAGTTATTAAAAATGAAGATTACCTCATACAAGTGACGCATTATATGAAAACTCAGGTAGTTCAATACAGCCAATGGAAATATAAACACGAAGGACTATGAGTAAGGAAACCAAAAATGATCCGACTACCACCAGCAGTATGAAGAGTTGAAATCAATACTGCCACTGTAGATTTAGTATAAGACAAAACTGCTCTTCAATACATAACAGGATTTATATTTATTGCGAACAAAGGTAAGTAAAACAGCCTAATTTTGAAGAAAAGACACATATCGGTTGTCTGTGCGGTCAAGGGCACCTTGGTGCTGAAGACAAAGTCCATGCTTCCACACAAACCTAAACGACAATTGAACGAGTGTAACACTTCTCACTGTGTTTATCAATTTACACGTATGTATGGGCACAAATTGGAAGGAACCATCGTGACATGTAGCTGAGAATGATTGATGATGAGCTTAGATAACTTATGAATGGTAGTTTGGTAAATACGAGTGACAAAAGCCATTCCTCATCCACCCCAAAACACAAGCTGGAAACCGATCATAGGACTGATATGAAGCCAGACTTTACTGCACAGATATACTCAATGATGAATACCTAGATTTATCGAAGTCCTGGCCATATATAAATTTAGATCCTCTCCATGTATATAAAAGTGATTTGTGCTTACACTGGTTCATGCTTCAACTTCTTGATGTGGTATTTTCCAACCCTTCCCTTCCAATACTTGTGTCAGATACCGTCCAAATCAAATGGACCCTAAGTCAGCCCACATGAATGGTTGCGCGAAGCACAGATTAAAATAGTGAAGGGTTACTGTTTTTCCGCAATGAACGACATTATTTATGAAGCGTTTTTGTCTCACCACATTTCGTCGTTAGAATCTTCGTAGGATGCCTTGAAGGAATATGAAAAGCAGACGTACACGCACTATGTGTGAGATTCACACTTTCAAGGTCAGTGAAGATCTTACGTCAAGTTCGTGGGTAGAAAGGCTAGCGGATGTCGGCCAGTAGATGATGCAGTGATAAAGTCAGTTTCGTTTATTTCCAGAAGATATTTTACAGATAACTCCTGAAATACTCATGTCCGGCGTTTGTGAGCGAAATAGTTATAGAAAATTTCCGCACATAAACTCAGTATTTGTTAAATCACAATCATCCATAAAATTCTCTGCTTTATGACGATAGTTCTTGGTCCAGGAGTTTGACGGAAGTCTAGTTGGACTTCATAAGGCTGTTGCTAATATCTGGTAGGTTGAATGATCAAGATGTGTTTAATATGCGTTATAGCCCCCCCCCCCGTTCAGTATAATTTGACCAGTATGTGACTTGAAATCACTTTGGTGTAGGCGGTTTTGAAAAACTGCAGGAGCACGTAACTAGTCAGGATACATCGGTATCCTCCTCTGTTACTGAGGACGGAAATCCGAAATGTGTTTTCTTCGTCGCAGTGGACCAGTTGAAGTTTGTTGACAACTGTCTTGATCTTCGGGGTTTCGATTGCACCTACGAGATGAATAATGAGAATCTTTTCGCCTACAAGTTCATGGCCATCGACATCAATTTAATTGCCATTTCCACTGCCTTTGCGTTGATAAGTAATGAGACTACTGAACTAATTGGTCAGTTTTGGACGTTCAAAAAAATGTTATCGAAAGCCGTAGAATGGGTGTTTTCATCACAGATGACGGTCCTACACTTGTTTCCGGTTTAAATAAGTTTCATCCCACTCACATCACCTCTTGTATCATGTGCATACTATTCACGTAATTAAAAGGGTAAGCGTGTGTACCAAATTATGTAGGAAGTTCTAATGTTCGCAGAGGTACTGCAGTACTTCTTACGAGGGTTGTACACCGAAAATATAGAGATTAGTGTCAGTGGATGTATCACATTTTTTTAAGCTTCAAAAGTTGCATTTTTCAAATGGAGACAATATATACAACGTTTCGCAGGTACTTGTTCTCCTGTCTCTTGCCTCGTAAGCACAAGTGGGCTGCTGCTTACCGTCCGCAGTGTATAACATCAGAACAAAATAACACCTACATATCGAAGCCCCACATCACGCATTAAAGCTCCATGAGCTACTGGGGGAAATGATGGTATGTTGCGCAATACTCAGCCTTATACTGCGTAGTGAGGTGCATTCAGAAGCTGCTCGGGAATTGCAACAATAAATCTGAAGTGGGTGATCATAATACCTTCACTTCTATGTTTCGCGACCCAACGTCTGCCGCATGTCCAATTATTAATAGGAATATACAAATATAAGTTTTTACTGAAAGTGATTCTGAAGAATACATTGTAAGAGATATAACGGGGTTATTCCTTGTCTCGCCCATACTGTGTAACTGCGGATTTCAGGTAAAGTGCAATTTGTCATACATCCATCTCACTAAAAATTGTATGGAAAGAAATATCCCCTCGGAAGCAGCTCATGTTTCCCTGCACTGGCTTCTGTAAGTAAATGAGCAGCACAACGTTCCAGTCCAGAACTATATTCCTCAACGAACTTCATCCCTCCTTACATCAAGAAGTCAACTTTGGATGGTGGTTTTATCATTCTTCACTAAAGATCAACGATTTCGCACACCCCACCGGCATGTACGAACATTTTAGATGGTAGGACACCCATGCTAATAGACTGAAGTCCCGGAGCAAACATTTTATCAAGGGGATCCGAAGAAGAAATGGAAATGACGAATGAAAGTGATTGTGATCATGGCGGCAGAAGAGCGAAGTGCATTAAATCCATTCAGAAGTATTTTGCAGTCACTAAGAATAATAATCACTAATTCGGCTAACAACTCGACCGTAGACCTTGACGCTAATGCGAACGATTGGAGGCGGCGATGGAGTTGGTAAACCGGAACTTTGAAGAGGTAAACCATGTGGATGTAAACGGAGGGGAGGATTATATTTACTGAGAAGCCTGAGAGATATGCTTCCATAATTATGCACCAACCTACATTCTACGTGCCAGTACATGGATAACATGTCATTGTCACACCTTGGATGGTAATTTGAGAATGTTTGGGATGCGTTTCTCACCACCCAAATGCAAACGGTTGCTCTATGACTGGTCTTCAGCAGTGCTTCGGCTAACAATGGAGACTGAAGTGGTTCAGTGCGTTGAACACTTCTCTTACCTGGGTAGTCCGGTCAGACTTGGTGGCTCAGTGGCCGATGAAATCTCTGCATGAATGTAAAAAGCTAGTTTGGCCTCTGCCAATTTACTCCATCTGTGGAGCTGCCACGATAACCGTTTGTCTCTAAAGGGTCGAGTGAACCGTGCCGCAGCCTACTGCGTTCTACTGTATTGGTGTGAAACATGGGCATCAAAGGTAGCAAACATGAGAAGGCTTCAGGTGTTTGACTACCGTCCCCTTTGTAGCGTAGGCCGTGTTTCGTGGTGTCACCACGTGAGTAACGCAAAAGTCAGGCGCATAGTTTTAGGCAGGAGAGGTAAGTCAGTTGATGTGGTTGTGAACCTTCATCGACTGAGATGGTTGGGACATGTGTTACGTGTGCCTAACCACCGTCTGTCTCATAGCGCAATGTTGGTCTGAGTAGGTTCAGGCTGGAAAAAGGCTCAAGGCAGCCAGACTAAAACACGGCATCTATTTATGAAGTCCTTGACTGTTGGTTTGAGCCACGTAGGGCGATGCAGACTAGCCGGATGGGGTACTCAGGTAGAAAGAATCCAGTGGTTAAAGACTCTCGACGATATGGTTGAGAAGTGAAGGCAGTGGCGCGCACACATCACCCTCTTGTTAACTATTATACTTAATCTCATAATTTTCCCATTCCTCCTTTTTCTTCCTTACTTCGTTCTACCTTCCGACCTTTTTCCTTCTGCATTTTAAATTTTATTGATCTGTTACTTCATGTGCTGATATGTGTGGCAACTTGCACCACCACTAAGTAATACATGGTCCTGTCTTGATCTTGATGATGATGTCACACCAATTCCCATACATTTCGACCAAAGAATCTACACCCAAGAACCTTTTGTCTCGAGTGCCTCAAATGTGGAAGTAACTTCTGACTTGGAGGCCATGCCATATATCATTAGAAAAACTGCCGCAAAACAGTTAATTTGCATCAGTAGCTACCGCCGTTATCTCCACTTACCTTTCACATTTCAAATAGACAGACTACAGCATCATAGGAATTATACATCACGAAAAGAAGATAAAGAACTAAAGGCCCTATGTAGGGCGAACACAAACTTGATTTGAAAGATTTCTTTAGTTTTTGAAAGGAAGTATCCTGTTCCCGTGGATTTTTCAATGCATGTCTATCTCCGAGAATATGGAGTGGTGTCGCAGTAACTGGCGGGTCTCTATTAGGTCAGAAATTAAGCGCATAAAATTTTGTGGACTTTTTAATAATGATTAACGGGAAAATATATAATTTAATCTCACTGGTATCGCTTCAACCTTGCCTGGTTAACTAGTTCACGAGTTACTAGCCGGTCCTAAACCCGGATAAAGAGGGAAGGTTGGGCATAGGGCTAGCAGCCCTTCCTGTAAAACCAATTCAATCGGTAAAAAAACTTCAAAGCACAAACAAACTATGAAAAATAAGAACAAACTTAGTCCTCACTGGAATCGGAAGGACGAAATGACGCCGATTCATGGAAGCCTTCGGGAAGCCAATTAGCCGAGCCAATGTGTCTTCTCTTCTCTCGATGAAAGCAAAAGTGACCATGGGGACATGCAGTGTCCACACTACGTTTGAACATGACAAAGCTGTCCAGATTGCCAAAGAGATGAGAAGGTATAGCATAGAAATGCCAGACTAGGAATCTGCGAGGAATCGGCAGATGCAATGGAAGTGAACTCTCCAAACTGTCAACTGGACAGGAGTCAATAATCTACTCCGATATTGTCACCCAGATGACAACCACGAGCACACTGAGTTTTCGAGTGGCTTTCATCATGTCCCCAACAGCATCAAGGGCTCTCATACAGTGGGAACCAATCTCCTCAGGCAGGATCATGACAGCAAGAATCAAATCAAAAGGAGAGAAAGTCACAATCTACAATGCTACGCCAAGCACCTACAAATAATACAGACCAAGAGGTGAAAGAGGAAGTCTACAGACAACTGCAATCAGTAGTAGACAAGACTAGTTGGCGACATCAAAATTCTAATGGGTGACATCAATGCCAAACTCGGAGCAGAACACACAAGAAGAGTACTAACCATGGATCGAGAAGCACTCGGTGAAAGGATGAATGGAATAGAGAACTGTTTGCAAGCTTCTGGGCATTCAACGGTTTGGTGATTGGAGGCAATGTGTACAAACACAAGGATATTCACAAAGTGACATGGACTTCACATCAGATGGACACACTAAAAATCAGATTGACTTCATCTGAATCTCAAGGTGGTGGATACGCAGCCTACTGGACACAATGTCAAGAAGGTGAGCAGATGTTGGTTCAAACCACTCATTGTCTAGTGCAAGGAACCTTCAAAATCAAGTTGAAAGCCTTCATAGATATTGGTGATAGACCACAGTTCAAGTTCAACAACCAGGAGAGACACAGAGGAACGAAATTACTAAGGAAATCTTCTCGTCAGCCATCAAGACAAAATGGGAGACGTTGAGCTACATCCGTGAAGGTTCAAGCGTGGAAGAATACTGGAACCCTTTGAAAACGACGTGGAAAGAAACCTGAGTAACCAAATAATCAAATCAAATAACCAGGGAGGGAAGTTATCAACGCAGACGAAACCAATGAAAGATAGTGAAGGAAAGCTGCTAGGCATAGAGGAGGAACAAAGGAAACAATGGGCTGACCACTTCAAAAAGTTCTTGAGTCGACCACCACCTGCAACTCGTCCGGAAATACCAACAGCAACCACAGAAATACCACTGAACACAGGCCCTCCGAAATGCCATAAAACTGCTGAAATGCGGCAAAGCAGCAGCACCAGATGCAATTTAACCAGAAGCACTGAGAACGGAAGCAGAGACAACAGCTGACATACTTGCACCACTAGTGCAGAAGGTTTGAAGGGAAGGAAAGGTACCTGGTAATTGAAGGAGGGCTACCTTGTCAAACTCCAAAACAGAGGAGACCTAAGGCTTTGCAAGAACTCGCGAGGATCATGCTCCTGCGCACCCGAACCAAAATATTACGCTGCATCATCCGGGAGAGACTAAAGGATGGGCTGGATTCAAAATTACGACGCAACAGGCTGGCTGGCTGCCTAGCTTCAGGAAGGATAAATCATGTGCCCTTCAAATTGCACCCAACGCATCATCATAAAACAGAGCACAGAATGACAGTCAGCTCTCTACCTCAACTTCATCGTCTTTGAAAAGTCTACGACAGCGTAGACACAGAAGTAATGTGGAAACTGATTCAACACTACGGACTGCCACAAACTCTTATCAACCTCATTCAACAGCTATATGACGACGCCATATGCCAAGTGATTCACAATGGAAAGTCCAGTGACGTCTTTGAGGTGAAGACAGACAAGAGTAAGATAAGGCTGCCACAAACCACCACCAATGACCTTCCTAATTATGGTGGACTGGACTGGATCATGCAACAGAATATGAGGAGTGGAAAGAGATGCATACTCTGGACCGATAAAAAGAACCCAGAAGATTTGGATTAGGCCAATGATGATTTTTGTCTAATGTCACACAAACTCGAAGATCTACAGGCAAAATCCAACAAGTTGACAGAAGAGGCATGGTGGCGAAGACGGGACTTCAAGTGAATGTAGAGAAGACAGAGGTGATGAAGATACCCAACCAACAACAAGCTCCAATCACATCAACGGGAGAAACTTGAAGGAAATAGCCTCTTTCACCTACCTAGGCAAGGTTGCATCGTTTCAACTACAGGTGGCAGCACAGAGGAGGATGTCAAAGCCAGGATCGGAAAGACTGCAAGACAGGTGTTCATTAACCTGAAACCAGTGTGAAATCTTCTGCACTCAGCGTGTGGAACAAGAGCTGGATTTTCAACACTAATTCAGTCAAGTCAGTGCTTCTATGTGATGGTTCAGAAACTTGGCGTGTCACGAAAAGCATTTCCAACAAACTATAGACATTCATCAACAGCTGCCTACACTCACTGATACTGAAGATCAGATGGATGGCCAGAATAATGAGAATAAGCAACAAGGAACTCCGTGTGACTGGCAACGAACCAACCAGGAGCCTACCACCCAACAAATATGCAGAAGAAAGTGGAGCTGGATTGGATTGGATTGGGAATACTTTGGGAAGGCCGATTGGGGACATCACGCGTCAGGCCAGGCCCTCGAGTGGAATCCGGATGGGGAATGACGAGTTGGGCGTCCGAGACGAGGGTGACATGGAGGAGATTATGTGAGGAGGAAATGAAATGTTGTGGGCAGTTGTGGCGCCAGGTTCAAAAGACTATGGAGAAGAGAGTGCAATGCAGGCGTGCTTCTGAAGCCCTATGTTCTACTAGGAACCCAAGGGAAAAATAATAACGATAAAGGTATCGCTTCACGTACACCAATTTCGCTGACAGTACATGCAAAATTCTAATTGTCTACTGGATGCGGAACATTAGTTTAAATATACTCTTGCTTACATCAACTCAATAGATGTATGTCAACAGTTAGTGGCATCAGATATCTTGCTGACAACATTAAGTGTGAGCCAGCAAGTTGAAATAAAAAAGTTGATATTTTCCAGCTCAACTGACACCATACCCTAGTTGTTATCTGATAACAGCAAGGGAAATACATTTTCACTGCTAACTACGCTCAAGTTATTGGTTACAACTCTCAATTACAATATAGAAAGGCAGTGATGCAAAATGAATTTGGATTCAATTTAATTGTTTTTAAATAGTATTTCACCAGAATTCCACAAGCAAATAAATAAACATAATTCACACTCAATGAATTAAATGTTATCCAAATTCACGGAGAAATATAAAATACATTAGAAGAACAATATTTAAATTATATAAAACCAATAACTTACTGTCACCTTCAACAGTACACACGAGTAAGACGTTAGAGAAACCATAGTAATCACCCTAAAATAAAGCACGTTTTAAAATAACACTTTATCACTTTAACTGTACTGAAAGTAACATTTTGTGACAGGATGTTTGCTTTATAACATTTACTGAGCACATTGCATAGAATAAGCCTTTTGTTTCGACTAAAACTATTTTAGCTATGTGTATATTTCAGGTAAACATTTACTGTTTACTTAGTGATTTATTTAGTAGTAACAGTACAACATAAGGTCAATTTTTCTGAGATTGAATGTTTCAGTACTAATTTAGACAAGATGGCTAGTCTAAAGTTTGAAACTTTCCAGGAAATTCCTCTCAATGTAATCCAAGCAGCATTTCATGTTTATAACTCCCACAAAGGCTATACACGATTTACGATAAATAATTCTTCGTTTCATTGTGCTTTATCAGACCAAAGTTTGATCTGTTAGTCAAACAAACTTCCAACTTGGCTGAAAGGAACGTAATTGTTAACAGATCACCTGCAAAGAAGCTGAGAAAGAACTTTCGCTGCAGCCACCTCGGAAATTCGCTTCACAAGCAAAACAATTCCACCTTCCAGAAGGAATGCTTTGTCCGCCCAAATTAACGTGTTTATATGAGTTCAACTACTTTTATGGGACAAGACACCTCGGAAGTACTAAGAGGATCCTTTCCAAATGTATGAAGGAACATCTTACATAGTTACATTGACAGCAGTCATTCGGTGGGCATTAGGACACCTTTCTCAACTGTTTATTAAATTTCAAACTAATTACTTGATGGAACACGTCTTCTGGTTTTCCAGGCAGCCTAAATAATTGGAATTAAAAACATGAAACCAGAGTTATATGTTCAGAAAAAGCTTTCTCAAACACTTGTTCTGCCCTGATCCTAATATGACGTAATTAACTTGGACTCTACTCCTTTCTATCTGTGTATAGAAATTAATTTTTTTACTTTTCTGTGTTCAATTCACTTTCTGTTCCGCATGTTCCAGTTGGTTTTTCTGACTGCATGTTCTGGCGGTACCGCTACAAATGATTTTCATTTCATTTTGGTTTCATATCTACTGTCTGATTATCTATCAGTGTCAATCAATTTTTAACTTGCTTCACATGATTCCCATGTACGCGATTCCCAACCTATAGCTGCTACCTTGATGTGGTGGTCGAGCGTGCACATCACTATGACCAAACAAGCCATGTCAATAGAACGCTTGGTTTCCTTGAGGTTCAATTATACCAGGAAGGTCTGTTGGGTAGTGTTAAGACGAAAATTATACGTCGTACAAATTAATACAATATGATGGGGTGTCTCAGGGCGAAGTCGCATTGTTAACTGGATGATAATGTGATACCAACAGTGTCACGTTCATTCGTCTTAGGAAGAATGGGTTAAAAAATGTCAGTCCTAAAAATACTACACTGCTCCTTACCCTATGGTCTTTCAGTGCCGACCGTAAAGGCGTTAAAAAAACCAAACTTGAAAAAATCCCTGAAAATGTCTGTGTCCAACAAGTTTAAAAGAAGATATCCTATGGGCTCTACGGTCACACAAATCTTTCCATGTTTCAAGCCCTTTAGGCAAAAATAGATTTCCATGAAGTTGGCAGGCTGCAAAAGTCAACGGTACCCACATTTATAGTAGTAGAAAAGACATAATAAAAAAGAATGTATCCTCTTCAGATGTCTATTGCTTTGCCTTCACCTCTAGATACTAATACTACATTTCTTAGGTCATAAATAAATTCTCACACCGCAATCCCCGTAAACGACCAAAGGCAGCAAAACCACATTTCTACTCTCCTAAAACCTCACCATCGACTTCATATAGGAACTTACAACATACAAAATCCATGACAAACCGCACAAGCGGCAAAGCTCCCAAAAACTCTGGAATCTCCAGCAATGGATGTATCCTGTATGTCTGAAACACATATATTGCTTATTAAATTGACCTCACTTGGACACAGTAATCAGTCGTCAAAATCCACATTGTGAGCACCTGGAAACCCAATCACCACCTCTCGTCGACTTACTCGCGTAGACATACACCATCGAGATACAGGGTAAAATCTGCGCTACTCGAATGGATACAAATCAACAGCATCCTATGCGCTGTTCCAATCAATAGATCTGTAAGAACTAGGAAACATTATAAGACCAATCGATCCCTATTCGAAATCTCCGCCCACTCAACCACTAACTGCAGTTCACATCATACAAACGATGAATTCTATGAGAAGCTGTCAACTTTGTCACAGAAACCAAAACATTGGCATATTCTCTTAATATCAGGTGACTTCAACGCTCAAGTAGAGAGGCTGAGCCAATCGGAGAGGCATCTTCTCAGTATTTACGGAATCCATCACAACCAACCGACAACAGTGGTCGTCTGTTACAGCTCCTTGCGACAATCACTTGTTTCCGACTACCACTAACTTTAAGCATCAAATGAGACACTGCCTAACATGGTGTGGTGTCCACCGACATGAAACCAATGATCCACAAACATACATCACATTGGTATAAGCCATCGTTGGAAAGGATCGGTGGAGCATTGCTCCTCTTCCTGAAGTACCAGTTTCAACTCCGATTAGTTGCTAGCACGTCATCAGGTATGTCTGCACCTTACTGGTCGCAGAAAACAGACGATAGTAAGCTCTGTCTCTTCTCGACTGGAAGGTGAGGGTGTCAAGTTCGAATTTAGAGAAGAGACACTTAAGCGTATATCCCAATATGACAGCAATGCTCATCCCGAGAAAAGCTGATGCGATGTTAAGTCTGCTGTATAAAAACGGGGAAAGGCAACTGGGAACCTACACCCGAAGGTTTGAAAATGTCACTGGATTTCCACAACCACATTCGAATTGACAGATGCAAGAAGACTGATTCCAGCTGACTGCTACCATGATGTAGAGCGAAAGCAACTCAAACTTAAGACGACCAAGTGTCTTTGCATCTATCGCCAGCAGTGTTCGGTGGCGAAAGTGAGAAACAGAAGGAAGGCATCACCTTTGGGTAACACTCGACAACCATTTAGGCCTATAGGGGATACCAGAAAGAAGATAATAGTGAGTAAAATTATCACTCGAAACGGTAGGACGCTGGTAAACACCTAGGACAGAACACTTTGAAGCACAGTCCAAATGGCCCACAGCAACGTTCCAGTTGCCCAACATTCAGCATGAACCTGAGTGCGACGCAGATATAAGTCCACCAACTCTCAACGAAACTATGGAAGTCGTTTCGAAATTGAGATGATACAAAGCATCACGACCTAATAGTTTGTCACCTGAAGTTCTCAAGGATGGGAGTGAGTGAATTGCTGCTTAATGCGACGGAGGTATCAAGTAGTGTGTGGAAATCAGAGGTAATTTTATCAGACTGATCTTGTCTTCCCAGTCTGTAAGAAAGGAGATCAGTCTTCTGGTGACAACCATAGTGAGATCAGTGGCACTAATATTGTAACCAAAATTTCAGCGACCATAGTTATGCGATACCTAACTGCAGCTCAAGAACAGCAAACTCGAGAAAAACAAAGCACGTTTCACACCTGCCAACGACAGTTCTTCGAGCAGCTCTTCACCCTTCGACAGGTTCTGCAACACAAAAATACCTACTGGTGGCACTCCCCGACACTTGCTACATTTCTTAACCTGAAGCCGCCACTCCACTCTGTAGACCATGAGGTGTTGTGGTGGTATCTTACTCTGAATGATGCATCCAGCAAGTATATCACACCAGTCAAAGCTCTCCACTCAAAGTCACACAGCCTCGTAAGGGCTTATGGAGAGTTTACTTGTGAATTGATGATAATTAGTGGTGTGCACCAGGGATCCCCAATCTCACCGTTCCTATTTAATCTCGTCATATAAATGTTATTGAACTTAACTTTAGGTACTTCTGATTTCACATGGATTGACCTACATTCTGGAGGTTATCTGGTTGACTTGCAGTGTGCAGACAATATTGTCGTGCAAGGTGAAGACGCCGAGTATGTTTGGCATCCGTTTCGTTAGCACTTGTAAAATGTATGATGACGCTTCGGGACTGGTCTGAAACTATTTCCATATTAATAATAGGGAGTGCATCTTGCCTAGCATTTTTCCTGTTTTGCAGCTGTGAGACACAAGCGTTAAAAGTAGAAAATACAAAGCGATTACCTGGTGTTGACCATAGATGTCTTCGTAGCATTGCTGACTTTTGATGGAATCACTGTGTGAGCAGTGTTGAGGTAAGGCGAAGGGTACTGGGCAACACAGGCAAGTCAACTGATGAGGTTATAAATCTTAGTCGACTGAGATGGCTGAGGTATGTGCCACACATATCTAGTCGCTGCGTACCTCAATGTACCATGCTATGGAGAAGTTGGATTAGGTTTGGAAAGGGTTCAGAGTGGCTAAACCAAGACTTACCACCAGTCTATGAACTACCTTACAGTTGGCCCAAGACGTATGAGATGTAGACTGAGTGGTTAGGTTCTTCAAGACGAAAAGAACCAGTGGTTGAGTACTAACTGTTTGTGGCGTGACTGGAAATTGGCCACAACGACGCAGATGTATTCACTCTTTGATGTCTTCTAAAGATTAAATGTTTGACTCACATTTCAGATTTCTTACCTTCTCTTACACATTTATCTACTTGTATATCTTTTTTTTCTATTCACTTGTTCTTTTTACACTACTGTGAAGGGTGGCAAACTTGAGCTGATGCACCTGTGTGCGAGGTTCTACGTTGATTTTGTCAGTCAGCTAGTCATGTACCCGATTATATAGCCTCTACCTCATACCAGTTTTGTCATGTGTCCATTTATGAAATATTTAAAGACACTGAGTGAATTTTATTACTGCGTCATAATTTTACATATAAAGTTTGAGCCTGATGTGACTTCAACGAGTGTACATATTCGTCCAAGTCAATGGTCTAAATTTCTATTTTTTCCCTAAACTAACAATAGAAGAGAAATGCGCTACCGAGTTAAAAACAGCTCATTGGTCTACTGGATAACAGTCTGGCGTTTGAAGTGACGGCCTGAGTTCGAATCTTATTGGTAACAACATCATTCACTAGGAGTCACACCAAATAGGATGAGGTGCTCATCCAGGATCCTACTTCTAGCCACTATTCACCATTAATATGAAAATCAGAAATATCGGCAATACTGAGGCATCTATACAGGAGTTCATATGCCAATAATGGCTGATCAATTTAGTTCAGTCGATGATGGAGATTTACAAGCTATAACATCAAAACTAGGCTTTACTCATCACGTAAGATGTGGCTAACGTGACCCAATGAACTATTTTTACAATCTACTGTTGAAAGCAGAAGTATTTGTGTTTGATTACAGACAAGGACAAAATAAATCTAATGAACTATCGGTTATATCCTTATGTGAGAATTCTGTATATATAAAAAACTGCTAGGTAGGACACTGGAAGGAGAGGATCCAAGTTACTTATCAATAGCAATGATCAAATACTTACAATTTCAGGATCATTTGAAGAGTATATTGCTGAGATTGTCAAACGTGCAACAGTGATTAGTGTCAGCAGTACGACTGTCATATACCTTGTAGTCTGATATGTCTCTGATTTTTACTGAAACGACTCTTCTTATCATTCATTGGGAACTTTTAATGCTTACTCTTTAAAAATTAATCAACAGAAAGCCATGAACCTACTTTCACAGTCTGAACACTACTCTCTTGATGCAACTATACCTTGTTGTTCAATAACAGACTCTTATATGTTTGTGATATATAAAAATATGCTTGAATAGATTTAGAAACGGACATCATTGAGAAAGGAAATTTGCTTCGCTGAATTATTGCTTCTTTGCTATTTGACTCAACGGGGATTTTGACAATCGTTTAACTGAAAACCTGAGATATTTTGTCTCTTCAAGTTCAATGTCTCAATGTCATTTAGAGATACTGGAATTAATAAGCGAATAGAGTCAGCAAAATCATATGTTATGAGGAACGAATGCGTTGAAGTATGTTTTGTCTTTACGCATATAATAACCAGCCTAATTATTTTGTTCTTAACACATTACACTAACAAACACAATTAACGCCATTCACTTAAAAAAACTGACATATGATAAAGTTATATGAAAAATGGTATAAATGAAGCTAACAAAGAACAATCTATATCACTCTAAAACGCTTACATACTTAAGAATACACCTCCACGAACAGAATAAATCTTGAGTTGGTATATTTTTAATGGAAGCAAAGTCTCTCAGTAATCTAAACCACAAGCGACTTTATTCTAATATATTTCCTAAAAGTTCTTCCATAAATCTAAATAAGAACCAAATTGTCGCCTGGGCAGTTTCCTAAAGAGACCTTCTGACCACAATAATCATTAGCGATGCAATAAGTTAAAGAAAAGTGGTATACGGTTAGGTTGAACATTTGATGATAGTTAAACGTACTATACGGTACCTACATTACAGTCGAAATGATTAGATGATGCTAGAAATCGAACAACTTTGCCGTAAAACTGATTCAAAAAATATATTATGCTAACCAGCAGTAGCATGAAAATTAAGACTATCCTCATTATTACCTCGCCTGAAATACTTACCACAGTTAAACCAGCTATACAGGCGCCCAGTTGAATTTTAAACACAACCACCCCATTTGAACGCAAGCGAGCATCCACCTATTAGATCACAATAGAAAACCAGTTTGTGTTAGAGAGATAATAAAATTTACAGCAGTGAAATGACACTTTTATCCAGTAATACTCAAAAACCATGGGACACTATTGACTGAATGAATGTTTTTTTTGGTAAATACATCCACAGCAATTTTATTTTGACCTCAAGTCATTGTTAGATTCGACTTTAAAAATCTCATACTGCTGGTCCTATGACTTACTGTTTGAAATGCGAGTACGAGCAACACCTTTGAGTTTATGAGCTCGGTAAATCATAAACAGCTCATCTGCATGTATTCAAACATACTAGTCACCTCCTAAAAATACTTTGACCTACCCTAAACAGTAAAAAGCTTAAGAGAAAGAGTAGGTAACCAGCAAAAAATTCCCTCAAATAACCTTGATTTGAAGATACTGTAACTGCTCAAGAATCGTGGATAAAGATGATCCTTGTTGCATGATGAAATCCAACAAATTTGCACCTATTCTTCCTTCATATGCTATATGACCAGAGAAGGATTTAGAGCCATTATCGTCTTACCACTGAATTCGCCTGTAAGCAAACGTATGTTGACACTTCTGGGGAGGAATAAAACACAGAAGTCAGTCTACTAGAAAATTAGTCGATAAAGTGGTGGTGTTCATGACATTTGGATCCCAATATCGAACAAGCTACATTGACAAATCCAGCTACACAGTCCTTATCAGGAAAAAATGATGCAGTTTGGACTTTACAACTAATACTCATTATACAACATTTTCGAAAAACATCAAGAATAATTACATGCAATGCAAAATTCATCAATGGAGTGATAACAGCGTGCAAACCTACTTTACCACTATTCCAGCCGCATATCAGTTCTGCATATCCATCATGGTTTATATCATAACCGCTAAAACAAATCGGCTTGTTCTTTGACTAAATAACAGTTGAACAAATAAACAAAATATTACAGCATGAAAATGAACCATAATTGCAGTGAATATTTCGAAGCATATTTTGTTTCTACTTAAACAAAAGGTAAAAGTAGTCAAAATAAAAAATATCAAATGAATTAAAACAAAGCATGCCAGTAAACACAGAATAGATTTCTATACCACTATAAATTAAGTTCATTTGGATAATTAACTCAGAAGCGTTCAGTACAAATAGTCAGGTTGGTTAACAACACCCTAAATATAAGTCAGTCAGTTTCAGTACCTCGATAAATAACAAAGAAAATCTGTCAGTTTCTGTTTGTCCAAAATGTACCACACTTCTGTTTGAATAAGTGATACGCTAAACAATCTTAAGTGCTCTTCTATTTCTTATCACTTAATGAAATATACCACACCAACCTAAACAATATTTTCCAACACTATCCAACAATAGATGGTTTCTATTGTGACTAAATATTCCAACCACTTGTGCAGTATTCTTGCCGTTATGATTTTAAAAACTGATGTTGAAGATACCTGTAGTTTACTACAAACCAAGAGTCAATTTAGTCACATCTGGAACAGTCTTCAAAGTGTTTTAAGTTCTGTTTTAACAAGAATGCATCAGAGCAGGCTTCGATGCCATTTTGTATTCCCTTTGTGCTGATTAACACGCATATTCTCATAGTCCCTAGTTCAGCCATACAAGCCAGATAAATTGGATAAACTTTTCCCTTATTAATTACTACCGCATTTATCCTAATTAAATATATTGCTTCTTTATTTATATTCCTGAATACCGGTCCTTTTGATTTGTGTTTCATTATCGGTACTTACACGTTGGGTAAGGTACTGAGTAAGCACGTACTAGTGCACATCAAGTTAAGTAGGGGTTGGTAAAAAGTTACATAAAAGTAGTACAACTAGAAAAACCTACAGATTCACCAACTTGACAACAACTATTTAAACAATTTAATTACAGGTTCTAGATAGGATTAAGGTAATTACATTAACTAAAATGTGGAAGTGAGTTTTTAGATTCTTTCGATAAACATTTAATGCCAATCTGTAATCACTTGAATGATTCACATCCATATACTTTTGTTAGTTTGAAGTCTGTTACTTCTGAGTTTTAAAAGAGTTATCCAACTTACATGCTACGTTTACTGATCTAAACGACTCTTTAGTGCAGGCAACACTGAAAGTCCAGGATGAGTAACTAATTGATTTGATATTACACTATGCCTGTCGCACAAACAGTCGCTATCATGGTTTAAAGACCTAGTGGATAACGCTATAGGGCATGAAGTGATTGGTCCTACGTTCGATTCCCAGTGAAAACACCACTCACTGAAAAGCTGGCACATCCACCTGACGAGTCCCAAATAGAACGAAAAATATGTCCTTGATCCTCAACAGCTCTATCTTAATCTTTAAAGTGCAACGAATGATACGAGAAAGAATATTTTAATAACCGTTTAGTCATGCAGCAAATAAAATCGCTATATTTATTCTTTTTATTCAGTAAATGTTGATTAGTAATGAAGTTGGTCTTCAGTGATTCTTTCTGTAAAAACCAGAAGAATCAGTATAAAAGCACAGTTAGTCGGGACATCAAACCTCATTATACCAGCATAAAGTGTTTAGTGCCTGATCTTTAACAGAGTATAAAGTTTGCTTAAGTCATTCAGTAGCTGGACGTTTGGATTCTGAATCCATCCTACTACAACCCTTTGGTATCATCATTCTTGAAGAGAATGGCAAACTGTTCGCTAGATTTGATATTAGATCTATGCGTACACATACATTGAAGCCTCTATTATACTCATATAACTGATTTTACAATTCCATTAGTTAGCTTCCAAATGGGACTGTGATCATAATAGTATAAGTATAGTTATTTAATACTCAGTAATCAAGTTTGATTGATAAACTGTTTCGGATTGCTTTGAATTGTTTGACTGAATAAGTATGCAAGTTGCAACTATATTTCTTGTTTTTACCTGAGTGGGTTTGAGAAATCTAATCCTAGTTAGTGGGAACTAAGAATTCTGTTGATGAGAGCATATAAAATTTTATGTTAATAAACATGCACAGGATGCATACAGCTAATTTTTTATACAACAAGGATAAAACTATCAATAAGTCCAAAATACAACCTGGATTTAGATCACAACCCTTTACACAATAATATTGACATATTGTAAATTCTTCTTCAAGTAGTGACTCTGTTTCCAATGTGGATGGAAACAAGAGACAACACAAAAATAAGAATTATCCAAATTGGTCATCAGAAAGGGCAAACAGTTTGTGTTTCGCCTTACAGCCTTGAATACATGACAGGACATTCCGATGTTAACTCTGCACTATGATCAGGAAGACTTGAATAGTTATTCTTGTTCTATTATAATTCCCATCTTCAAAGATGTCGTATTCTCTCTAATCATATTCTGTTGTATCATCAAACTATTTTCGAATACTGTGATCTTTTTGATAGGTAGTAGTGGAATCCAGAAAGCGCGTTTTGCCCTATTTACTACTCATCAGGTGGATGTACCTGTATCCTAGTGAGTGAAGTTGCTCCTACTGAGCCTCAAACCCAGTACCCATCGCTTCAACTGCCAAAGCTGTATCATCTAGAAAGAAACACGTGTCCTGCATTACACTGCTAGCTATCAAATAGAAAACAATATAATGAGTATTGGGGCAGTATCGAGTCATCCGCAGAGGAGCTCATCTGCGATCAGAGGAGCAATTCGACATAGTATAGCAACGGGAAATTTCAGGTACCATTACTCTCAAATACCTTTGAAACAGCTCCATAGTGATTCGTTTCCATTTTCTTGTGAGCCATACCAAATAGGAATCATGTTAATGATTATGTAAAGGTATAATACAGCTGAAATGCAACCCAGGAGAGTTTAGATAACCAGTGGTAGATTTTATCAGGATCAACTCCACGTAAACTAACAAATCGGAAGACTAACACTAGTAAAATTCTTACGAAATGTTCTCACTTAAAGTGGTTTGCATTATATTCAAGATTTAATTTTGGAAAGCGGTTTTATTCAAATATCAAAACCAACTAAAACCTATAGTTATGTAAACCAGCACACTTGCCAAAAGTATATTCAGTAGGATAACCGAAATGTAACACGTCCCAATGGCTATTTCTTGAGAAGACAGTGAAAAATTTACTGACGAACCGTACTGTAAAATGATGCCAAATATTTTATATCACTTACTTTTATACGCCATATACGACTTGTTCTATTGTATACACCGATGGTGCCATTTTTTAAACCATAACCAAAATATTCTCCACCGAGCGAAACGAGTTTACATATTACCTATTAGCAAGAGATTTGTAGATATAATTTTGGAATTATCTCATCTGCTAAAAATCAGACTACATGCATCAACAACATAAAGATTGACTTGATTCCCAGTAAAATCAATGAGATAACATAATTTACTAAGAAACCAATTAATCCGTCAAATATGCGAAAAACGCCAATGGTATATATGGGAAGAAATAATAATACGCGTTTCGTTGAAATTTTATCAGTAGCAACGTCTAGATGGAATTATTCGCTCAATTGTTATGTCCCTTCAATTATTACTATTATTATTACTTTTCTCTTGGGTTCCTAGTAGAACATAGGGCTTCAGAAGCACGCCTGCATTGCACTCTCTTCTCCACAGTCTTTTGAACCTGGCGCCACAACTGCCCACAACATTTCATTTCCTCCTCACATAATCTCCTCCATGTCACCCTCGTCTCGGACGCCCAACTCGTCATTCCCCATCCGGATTCCACTCGAGGGCCTGGCCTGACGCGTGATGTCCCCAATCGGCCTTCCCAGATTATTCCCAATCCAATCCAATCCAGCTCCACTTTCTTCTGCATATTTGTTGGGTGGTAGGCTCCTGGTTGGTTCGTTGCCAGTCACACGGAGTTCCTTGTTGCTTATTCTCATTATTCTGGCCATCCATCTGATCTTCAGTATTCAGTGAGTGTAGGCAGCTGTTGATGAATGTCTATAGTTTGTTGGAAATGCTTTTCGTGACACGCCAAGTTTCTGAACCATCACATAGAAGCACTGACTTGACTGAATTAGTGTTGAAAATCCAGCTCTTGTTCCACACGCTGAGTGCAGAAGATTTTCACACTGGTTTCAGGTTAATGAACACCTGTCTTGCAGTCTTTCCGATCCTGGCTTTGACATCCTCCTCTGTGCTGCCACCTGTAGTTGAAACGATGCAACCTTGCCTAGGTAGGTGAAAGAGGCTATTTCCTTCAAGTTTCTCCTGTTGATGTGATTGGAGCTTGTTGTTGGTTGGGTATCTTCATCACCTCTGTCTTCTCTACATTCACTTGAAGTCCCGTCTTCGCCACCATGCCTCTTCTGTCAACTTGTTGGATTTTGCCTGTAGATCTTCGAGTTTGTGTGACATTAGACAAAAATCATCATTGGCCTAATCCAAATCTTCTGGGTTCTTTTTATCGGTCCAGAGTATGCATCTCTTTCCACTCCTCATATTCTGTTGCATGATCCAGTCCAGTCCACCATAATTAGGAAGGTCATTGGTGGTGGTTTGTGGCAGCCTTATCTTACTCTTGTCTGTCTTCACCTCAAAGACGTCACTGGACTTTCCATTGTGAATCACTTGGCATATGGCGTCGTCATATAGCTGTTGAATGAGGTTGATAAGAGTTTGTGGCAGTCCGTAGTGTTGAATCAGTTTCCACATTACTTCTGTGTCTACGCTGTCGTAGACTTTTTCAAAGACGATGAAGTTGAGGTAGAGAGTTGACTACCATTCTATAATACTTCACATTTAAATTTGAATCATTTTGGCAGTAATAATGAAATCTATCCGTACTGCAGAGCTTACTGCCGACTGAAAAATACACTTGGAATCTTTTTTCCTTAGTTAAGGAGAACTGATTGGATTCTGCAGTTTATGACCAGGTTTTATGTATTATCATCAATGACTTTCCGAATCTGATTGAACACTAGCATAAGTTCCTCAACCTATAAATGGGTGTATACTTCATTTTGAAACTAACTGGTTAGGGAATACTTTGTAGTGAAAATAAAAACTCATGGAAGTAGAGAAGCTTCTGTTCTAGTCTATATGTATGCACATATAACAAAGAAAAATGAGCGTAGGAATGTCAACTAGTTTTAGTATACACTACTAGGTGTTTCAAATGTTGCAGCCTTCAAGAATAAAACTGGTAAAGTGAGATTCACTATTGAAACCAAATTTGACCTTCATGTGTTTATCGATGGTTACAGACACTTTTTTAAACTCTTAAGCACAATACAAACATATCTCATTCAAACAATCCGTATACTTCTTCATGCATAAAGTTCATGCTCATGTGCATTTGTTACTCATTCGTTTAAACGACTTGTTAGGTTAAGTACAAACGGTTGCCTCATTGGAATTTCCAAAGTTCTGATATAGATCAATCAACTCAGAGGCATCCATTATAAATCAACTAGCTAATGTCAATTTGCCATGAATAGTCTAATATCAATTAATTCCCCTAAAAGTATCATCATTAAAAAAACCTTTAAATTCTTGGATATCTTATTGACTTAACAGGGAGGTTTAAACCGAACATTTAGTAACAAAGGCACTTGAGTAGCTCATAGCTACAAACATAAAATTTTCGTTAAATTTCGTACTTCAAGACTATCTAATGAGCTCACATGTGGGTTGTATAGCAAGTAGATATTGTAAAAGAAACCACTAAATATCAGGTATACCTTAACGGTGTGGAACTCACTTCACTATGCATTTCAGAGTCTACACTAAGACTACCCAAATGAGGTCAAAATTATACGCTACTGAAATCGTATTTATTGGTTGCGAGGTAATGTACTAGCTGTGGAAAGTGGAGATATCATATTTGAAAAGAAGTGGGACTTACGATCGAACCCTGTTAACTTATTACAATAACAAAAAATATAGCGAAGTAACAATATAGCATGATAAGGGATCAGCCGTAGAAAAATAAGGCCAAAAGAACCAAAACGACATTAAAATAAAAAGCAAAAGGACATTCAACAATAAGTAGATAACAAGTGATGAAATACGATTTTAAATACATATAGAGCATTTACATCAACTTACCGGGTGTTCATTTTGAGTCATATCACCAAAGACCTCGAACCGTTGACTTTCTACACTAAATAGTCGTTCACGTTTCAGACCAGAAGTCAGTGACTTCATGCATCAGTTCTGTATTTTACTTCATCTTTAGCTTATTTACAACGAAATCCTACTTCAGCCAACGTTAAATATTCGCAGTTAGTTATTTAACCTATGTAACACTATGCCATAGATAAGGCAGTTGGTACATGTTCACCGTTTCATCAAATGGTGTAGCTCTTTCACCTTTGTTGGTTGTCTAAACAATACTGCACTATAGTGAAAACTGTTTAAAAATGTTTTAGCATGAAAAGTAATTAGTTGTTGGTTGCTGTCAAACGTTAAGTTTTAATGAATGTTCGATAGTTAGATCAAGCATGGTTATAAGTAAAATTACATAGAGAAACATTTATTCCGAGATAGTATTCATCACGGACTGATTTCAGTTGGAAAACCACTGAAAACCTGAGAGCAACAGGTAGCTTTTACATCCTAGTATGGGAATTCTCAGAAGTGTGCACCCATAATAGGACAAAATAACTGTCCAATACTCCTAGATTCTCCAACTGGAGTCAGTTCATGAATAACATGAAATCAATCATTCAGACTCCACAAAGGTTCAAAATGAACAATGTTATTTGAACACTGATAGTTACTTATATCTATAATCTTACATCTGTTTCTGATATTTCATGACAAAATGAATCACCACGAAACACACGTATAATATAGTCTTCAGAACCGACTACAATATCATTAAAATATTCATCGGCATTTTCATACGATAAACAAGTTAGTGCAGATATTGTATCTCCGGTTACAGTCCAAAACAATTCTGAACCTGAATAATTCAATGCAGAGAGTGTACAATTGCCACCGACAAGTATAACATCAGAATTCTTGTACTGTTGAAGATGTTGCTGTTCAAAATGCTGATAAACAACCGTATTTACACCATCGTTTTTTAACTGAAAAAAAATGTGATAAGTAATTGAAATTTCACTAAATCCCAAGTTACTTCTTTATAAAATATATCCACATTATTTTTTGGATCATAAAGTAATATACCATTTTTGATCCGATTATCAAGAGATCATTGTCATCTGAGATTTGTTTAAATTTTCCTGTGTCAACCGCATATACTGAATGTATAGTACTACACTTGATAAAATCTAACAAACAAACATTGAAGTGATTGTTGAAGTAAATCTTTTGAACTTACCTTGTGACAAAATGTTAGTATTACCTTCAGCTGAATGATAGAATTTCGGATTATAAATATATACCTACATGAATGCATTACCAAAATGTGGTACATTTAATTACTTCAGGGTGTCTTCAAATAAAAAGATGATATTTATTGACTTACATGGAAATTCCTTATTTATGAAAAGCTTGATCAACAAATAAATAACAAGGTTTTTCTATGAGTGATGAATAATGGGTAGCAGTGAAATCCAGGAAGCACAGTTCGTCCTGTCCGGAACTCGTCAGCTGGATATACCTGCCGACAGTGACTGATTTTGTTCCCGCTAGGACTCGGAACCAGGACCAATAGCTTCGAACGTCAAAGTGTTATCCTCTACACTACTCAGTTATGGTAGCCATTCCCTATGTGACGGGTAAAGCATACATTCGATTTTATAACTTGTAAATATTCGTCGTTGGTTGGGCCGAATACAGTGACCATAAGAGATCATAAGCTAATAGTAGTTGATCAATCCAGTCCAAATTAAAGATGGATATTTAAAAGATATCAAAAATATCAAGGACGTTTGACTAATTTCAAATATTTCAGTAATACTTAACCTCTCAGTCTGAGAAACCTATCAACAATCAAACGCAAAAAAACCTCATTCCTGGTCTCCTAAAACCTCACCATCAACTTCACGTCCGAAACAACAAATCTGAGAGCAAGCAAACCTCCCAAAAACTCTGGAATCTCCAGCAATGGATGTGTCCTGTATGTCTGAAACACATATATTGCTTATTAAATTGACCTCACTTGGACACAGTAATCAGTCGTCAAAATCCACATTGTGAGCACCTGGAAACCCAATCACCACCTCTCGTCGACTTACTCGCGTAGACATACACCATCGAGATACAGGGTAAAATGTGCGCTACTCGAATGGATACAAATCAACAGCATCCTATGCGCTGTTCCAATCAATAGATCTGTAAGAACTAGGAAACATTATAAGACCAATCGATCCCTATTCGAAATCTCCGCCCACTCAACCACCAACTGCAGTTCACATCATACAAACGATGAATTCTATGAGAAGCTGTCAACTTTGTCACAGAAACCAAAACACTGGCATATTCTCTTAATATCAGGTGACTTCAACGCTCAAGTAGAGAGGCTGAGCCAATCGGAGAGGCATCTTCTCAGTATTTACGGAATCCCATCACAACCAACCGACAACAGTGGTCGTCTGTTACAGCTCCTTGCGACAATCACTTGTTTCCGACTACCACTAACTTTAAGCACCAAATGAGACACTGTCTAACATGGTGTGGTGTCCACCGACATGAAACCAATGATCCACAAACATACATCACATTGGTATAAGCCATCGTTGGAAAGGATCGGTGGAGCATTGCTCCTCTTCCTGAAGTACCAGTTTCAACTCCGATTAGTTGCTAGCACGTCATCAGGTATGTCTGCACCTTACTGGTTGCAGAAAACAGACGATAGTAAGCTCTGTCTCTTCTCGACTGGAAGGTGAGGGTGTCAAGTTCGAATTTAGAGAAGAGACACTTAAGCGTATATCCCAATATGACAGCAATGCTCATCCCGAGAAAAGCTGACGCGATGTTAAGTCTGCTGTATAAAAACGGGGAAATGCAACTGGGAACCTACACCCGAAGGTTTGAAAATGTCACTGGATTTCCACAACCACATTCGAATTGACAGATGCAAGAAGACTGATTCCAGCTGGCTGCTACCATGATGTAGAGCGAAAGCAACTCAAACTTAAGACGACCAAGAGTCTTTGTATCTATCGCCAGCAGTGTTCGGTGGCGAAAGTGAGAAACAGAAGGAAGGCATCACCTTTGGGTAACACTCGACAACCATTTAGGCCTATAGGGGATACCAGAAAGAAGATAATAGTGAGTAAAATTATCACACGAAATGGTAGGGAGGTGGTGTCTTACTCTGAATGGTGCATCCAGCAAGTATATCACACCAGTCAAAGCTCTCCACTCAAAGTCACACAGCCTCGTAAGGGCTTATGGAGAGTTTACTTGTGAATTGATGATAATCAGTGGTGTGCACCAGGAATCCCCAATCTCACCGTTCCTATTTAGTCTCGTCATATAAGTGTTATTGAACTTAACTTTAGGTACGTCTGATTTCACATGGATTGACCTACATTCTGGAGGTTATCTGGTTGACTTGTAGTGTGCAGACAATACTGTCCTGCAAAGTGAAGATGCTGAGTATGTTCGACACCCAAAGCGTATTATTCAATACGATACTATTTACCCTTCACTTTTCCGATATTCATAGTAATCCTAGTGTGAAATAACTATCGACAATTCTAGTGTGCGCTCTGTCAGGAAAGTAAACATTGAACATTCTAGACAGGGAACCTAAATGTGGCTTTGGCACTAAACTCCAGGAAATGCACTCACACTTTCATTTATCCTATTGTTTTTCACTGTAGACGATGACAAGAAAGCACCATTTGGTTTTTTATTCTCTACTTTTTGCTACACTAGTAAATGACCAGCAAAACTGTCTTTCAGGTGTGTTTAACCCTTCTACCCATAAATAACTTGCTAACCATGTATATAATCTCACTTTTCGAATGGAGATCATATTTAAATCACTCTTATGTAAAAATTTAATTTCAAAAGCTAATCAGAACATTTTTAAGATGCAAACTTTTATCGAAGTTAAAAACCAAAAATCTACCATAAAGTGATTCTGATTAGGTGGTCTACCGTAGGTTATTAAATTATCACTGTTCTTAAACTTTTGTAATCTTGATCTTTTTATATGAATCACCGATGGAGAAATTTAATTTGGTCTATGAAAAGAGATCACAGCTTTTGCAAGAAACTGGGAATATAACTGTCTGTTGCGATTTTACTTACTTGGTAGTGAAAACACCACAAATATTTGTGAAGGCACGTCGAAATATATGTTCATCCACTTGAAATATATGTAATTTATTTACATTCAAAATCACCTTAATTTCCTTGCTATAAGTGATATGTAGTACTGAAGTAATACTGCTAGCCTAAACTATACTAAATATTTTTCGATAACGCTATTAGAAGACGAAGATTATCTGAAAAATGTGATGTATTTGTGCAATACATTTCGAATAATCTGATCATACATTTACTTGTCAAGTCAATTTATATCTGAAAATGAAAGGTCAAATATGATGAACATGAAAAGGTTATGACACTAGTCTTGGTGATATAATCAGATAAGCATTACCAAGGTAAATTAAGTGAAACAACAAAATGTTTTTGTACGCAAAGCTGGGGCTTAAGTTTATGAATGGCTTACGCTTCGGCAAACTTCAGTATGCGTCCCCGATTATTCCTGTATAGTATCGTGAAGGCTGTTTTCGTATTAACCTTGTGATTCATTTCAATGACATATTCTACTATAGATGACGATGGATGCCTGTCACCTGCACTTATCAGTGTTTGTGTTAAATTGATTTTCAAGCCATTTAAGTATCTGTTTACCCACCTTAGTCTGCATTGAACGTTGCTCCTCCCTGTGTATGTGTGCCCACACATACATGTGAATTGGTAAACACAGTGGGATGTGACGTAATCATTTATGCGAGGGTGAGGTTTGTGGCGAACCAGGTGTTTTGTCGTCTCAACAGTGATAAGCTGAGCTGTATAGTACGTTTTACTGATAATAGATTTTAATCTCTCATTCCCCTCTGTATCGTACTTTAAGAAATATGTCTTTCTTCGCGACCAAGGAAACTATAGGTTTTGGGGTCAGCTGTTTTCTACAACAGTTGACAAACTGTAATGAATATCCGTTTTCCATTAATGTGCCTGTTGGAAATTTCGTCTCATCATCCATCATATCAGACGTACAAATACATTGGATTCTATTGAACAGACAGCTTACTAAGCCACTCTTACATTTCATCGGACAAAAGTTGTAGAAACTGAAGTACTGTCCTGTCCAAGTAGGCTTCCTATATATTGTATTGCTCAAGTACATCACATTTTTCAGATAATCTTTGTCTTCTAATAACGGTATCTAAATTTACTAAAGGGACTAATTGTTTCAAATATGCTAAATATTTTACTTTCTCTAGGCATTAAGAAGCATGAAAACCAGAGATTGGTACTTTTTTTCCGTCAAGATCATTCTTAACATCACATTTTAAAAATGTGGGATGGTTTCTCAATATACGTACGTACTTGCAAATATACCACTCCCTAGTGAGAATATAAAGTAGACTTTTTACCCAGAATTACTGGTTAGTTGTTCAGAAAGTCTGATTTATGAACTTTAAAAATGCAGCAGGTTTCCAAATTTTTTCAATTAACATCTGATGAGTTTGACTTACACAACCTATAATTGACTGACTGGAAAAATCAAGTACATAACCTGTATGCATTTAAGGATACATAAGCTTTTTTTGTGTTCATGATTATATTGTTTTGGTGTGTTAACATGTCGAGAGACATAAATAATGTGCGGTTACGCTTTTAGGCTGGCCAGTTACTTGGAAACGCACTTACTAACTTATTATTCATACTTTCTCGTATATGCACCACGGATTTACAACGATGAAGAGGACGAGTTATTTTATAAACCAACTGTAACATGTTTGCCAACAAACTAACCCTAACAACTTTACTGATAATGTAGTTGGGTTGACCCTATAATTAAGTGACAAGTAACCAGCGTAATAACCAAAGTACCGATCTAAATATTTTTGAAGGATTTGATGGTGTATTCCACAGCTTGCAGGTTTAACGCAAAAAGGATCACACTTCGTAAACTTTTCAAATGTGTAAATGGACAATGTTTACTAGAGAAATACTAAACTGCTTCAATGAATGAGAAAAGACTTGTGTCATTCACCTTTTCTGATGCTGTAACAAACGCAATCGATAGATGATCATCAAGCATCCTACCATAACAGACTAACCCTGGCAATATTTTGAATGGTATTTTGTCACAAAATACTAAAGTGCCAACATTCATTGTAAAGCATGGATACGTAACGACTCTAAAGAACTTCTTCTGACAAAGCGGGAGAATAATTTTGTTTTATTCTCAAGGAGAAAATAATGACATGATGCCTGAAAAATGAGAAATATGGAATCATTGATTTAAATAACTAACAAAGTATCACTGAAATGTAAAACCTGTATGTGTTTGAAAACACGATATTAGTACTAACCACCCTATAACCTTAAAACAGAAGTATTGTTAGGTCGGGTCAGATTATAAGCATATAAACAGTGATTTTTTGTCATGCTTCAAACTTTCACTAACTGAATTTTCACTGTAGGAAACTTACAAGGCGAAAACTCTGTCACATACCTCGGAAACACTGTTAATGTCTGTGCTTGTGGATGATAACACTAGCATCAGACCGTAAATAACAATAGAGTAAATGCTTGCGAAATCTTTAATTACTATTTTCGTTTACTGAGCAGTAAATGAAAAATGATGCGAAGACATATTTACTATGATCGTTGAAAATATATTCAGGCTCATTTATTTTTGTTCATAAATGAAAGGACTGAATTTACGAAATGAATTCGAACGAATATTCTCAAGTACTTTTATTGATATTATCCTCTAACTTGAAGTAACATTACGAAAAACTACCAGCTATTAGTCCGTGGAGTTTCTTGTTGAAAACTATGAAACATCTGGGTTAAACTGAAAGAATCATCGCTTAGAACTAGCGATAAATAATAAAAATGGACCTATTTTTTCTCTTATGATCCACTTAACAAGTAATCATATAATTACTTATCACCTTTTAATATTCTGTTCCCACCATTTTAATATTTCTTTGACTACTTTGTTATAAATTTACTTTCAGTGCCAGTGATTTTAAAATACTATTCAGTAAGTCAGATTTTTAGTTGTTTATCCTTGAATGAGCTCATTATGAGGTTATTCAAAACAAAGACATTCACAACAGAGCTAGTTAACCAAGAAGATACTTTTATCTTCTGAAATCTTATTCAAAAGGTACTTTAGGGACAAAATAGCTGGCAAGAAGGACTACTACTCCAAAGTGTTTGTCAGTGAATTCCACAGATTTCTATAACTTGCATACTTTCCTACAGGAATCATCAGACTCACCATCTGGACTGGTAGGATAGTCCAAATGTTGGTGCCCAGAAATCGGATATAGTAGACGTACAGTGATGCACATTGGTCATAGCAGTTATTTCCGGTATTCCTTTGATAGCAAATCACTGTTCCCAGTCTTTGAACAGGAAGAATAAGATGTCATTATGAGCCGTGATTTGAAAACTCGGGCACACCAATACAGCTGCAGCATAGGGCTTCCAAGTATTATGGTTCGTCCGCAGTGTTCAAAGTTTTGGTCGGGATACTCTATTCTACTTGAATTGGATCCCGGCTGGAATATTGTCTAACCTAACCGTAGGAAGCGGGATGATCTCATGCTGGCACTGCCTATCCTTACAAATGACTTCGATACTGATATGTCTTCTTTTCTCTCTCACTAAAAATGATTACCACCGGGGCCAATATGAGACAATCAAAAGACCACGTTGGAATCTATTCGGCGTGAATGTGCGTTTCTCCCGTAGCGTGGGCAACGAAAGTAATACCAGCACCTTCAGCCAACGCATTGAAGGAAAAATTAGATCTTAAAAGATATCTTCCCGCAGTTGCTGCCTTTCACTTTCTAGTAGGGTAGACCACCCCACAGAACTGAGAAAACAAAATTCTGGGATGCGATAACCTTGAGTTATTAGCTTCATTAAGGAGTCATAGATGAAATTGGTGTTTAATATCTAATACCTGTTTAACGAGCTTGTGCAAACCGGTCGAGTTCTTCGTGCTTACTTCTAAGTCTTACGAAACGGTTTCAAATCTTTGGAGGATTCCGATGGAGTAGATCCAGCCACTCGCTTGCTATAGCTCTGGTATACACAGAAGGTTGTGTGTTGGTTAGCGTCACCAACTAATTCAGAACAGAACTGAGGAACCTCACCAGAAAATACATAGACTTGCAGACACATATCTTTTCGTTTTTGAGGTAGTGATTAGCTTGGCGTGGATATGCATCGACTTACGTAGGCCAGGTCATGTGCTACGTTTTAGCAACGCGATCAGCTTCTAACATATATATACACAGGCACGGGACCCTGTGAAAGATAGGAATGGGTTATATAAAACAACTCACAACTTATCATTTCAAAGGCAGCATTTTTCCTAAAAACTATCGATAATCATACAGACATCATAGACTGAATATATATGCACGTAAGAAATGCTATGGTCCTCTGACTATCTAAGATCCTAATTTCTTTATTAATGCCACTTTCCCCCTTAATTTTTTTAAGTCTTGAAGTCGCGTTCTGCTTTGCATGCTGCAAATGAGGTTTTCTAAGACCTACAATCGTTTATACAAACATGTACATGTATGCGGATATGGAATAAGAAATTCACTAACAGTAACACATGATAGGAGGTACTTTTAATATCAAAGCCAGAGTATGCTATGTAAAAATGATCTAATAATAGAACCCACCAATTCTTGGGTTAATACTAGCAGAGAAAACGAATTACACAAAATTCTCCTCGAATGTCCGAAAACTCAAAACAGTGGGAAACTTCGTAAACTACAGATGACCCTATCATAAGTAACACTAAACAAAGTATGATCCAATATCCAACATCAAAAGCGCGGGTAGAGAAAGCCTGTAGCTTCCGACCTCTCGCTTTTTAGATCTCTAAGCTTGGTTTTTATGCTCCTTTGGTGGTCGCAAAAGTCCCTACGTTTTTCCTGCTTATAGCTTTAGAGGTGACGAATGTCTAATTGGAGGTATTTTTTCTTGCAAATTGTAGCTTGGTTCGTTTGGGAGGACGGATGTGTTGACAAGATCAATTAATCCAGCTGCGATTCCTACTTTTATAAGCACCTACAGGTAAGTTCTATGTGTTACTTAAAAAGTGTTACAAATAGGGAGAATGAGAAAAAGAGGAGTGAAAAGTACCTGTTGAAAAATGAGTTACTCGTAATAATATGGAGAAGGGATGCATCTTACTGAGGATGCTAGGGTTGGGAATACAGGGGGATGAGCATATCTTCACTTGCTATTGTACAATATTCGTGGTAAACCTTTTGTATTCACGTACTTATCCAGCAGTCATTTGAAGGAGTCAACCGATGTGGCTCTGGCTACTTTCTTCTGTGGGGCATTCCATCAGGCACATACCCTACGTGACAGGGAGTTTGATCCCGCTCTCGTCTTTGCTGGGTGAGGGAGTATAAGAGTGGGGTCCCACGAGACTGTCGGCTTTGAGCCGATGGCGTTGACCTATTTTGGTGGTCCATCTGTTGTAAGATCTTGTAGGCTGTTACTAGGCCACCTCGCTTGGTGTGAATAAGTTGAACCTTCTGCAGCGTTGTGCATATGCCTTTCCTACTGGCTCGACAGCCGATCTTGTTGCCGTTTTCCCTACCTTCTTGAGAGTATTCGCGTCTCTACATGGTAGTAGGAAAGCTTTCATGTTGGATACCTTTAGGTATGGCCTCATATAGTTTTTAAGCATTATGAGGAATAATTCTGGGGTTAACGATCCAAGCTGCCCTCTTAGAAAGTGCATGATGGCGTTCGCCTTTGCTGCCACTCCCTTACAGTCGTATGTAGTACCTAGTGTGTCAGAGAAATTTGGTCCCATGTCCTTCTCTGTGTGTACTGACGACTGCACGCTCGTGGAGGGTGTAGCTGGTGTGCGAAGATATATCACCTTGCATTTCTTCGGATTAAGGCTTAAACTGTCCGCAGATGACCAGGACTCCAGCTGCAGCACAGCGTCTCGAAGCATCTTAGAATCCCCTTTTCTACCTATTGTCCTCTGTATTTTAATGTCATGGAAAGCTTTTTACAAGTCCAGAAAGATAACATGGACTGGTCGCCTTTTCCCATCTAGTGATCCAGTCATCCCCGCCGGTCATCAAGTTTGTGGGGCTTGATCCTCCGGTTCTGAAACCATGTTGGGTGGGATGATGGATGGTATTTCCGTTTAGGTAGTCCCGAACAACATCTGCAACCGGCCTTTCCAGCACCAAAGTTGGTGTGGGAAGTAAGGCTATTGGTCTTCAATTGAATGGGTTTTTTCAGCTTCCTCACTTGAAGGTTGGTGAAACGATAGCACGTTCGCATTCTCTGGGGAGCTGACTCGCTTCTAGCTAGTCCACGAACAGGTTGCATGTGAGTATGCTCAGCACTTCGGTACAGTTCCGTTGAGCCACCGGTCTTATGTCATCGCAACGCGGAGACCTCCCTACCTTCATTGTTGAAAGTTTCGTAAACACTTGGCTTGACGAAATCTCTACGTTCATCAGCTTTGTATCGCAGTCCTGGAACTCTGATACATTACTAGATGTTAATAATAGATCCACCACAGTGCTTAGTTGCTCGTCAAATCGTCTGCTCAGCAGTTCCATTGTCTCACTGCTATATAAAGGTTCTCCGGTTGACCCTGTGATCACGTTCGGCCCTTTATTCACCAGTTTTTATCGTCTTATAAACCGATATAGGCCCTCTGGAGTGTAGCTTAGTTGTTTAGTCAAGATACTGCCGTGTGTGTACCTGTCACTATGTGACACAAATTTCATAACGTCTCGTAGCCAAGACAGTCTGGTTCCTTGTGTGATGTGCCTCGCCGATATCACGCCTTCATCCTAGTCCTCTGTATTTGCCCTTGGGTTGGTCGAGTTATCCAAGACCATGTGAGAGGCGGTCGTCTGGCTAATTTAGGAACGCTGTTTGCGATAGCGCTCCATATAATATCTTAATTATGCATCCAGCGTTAGCCTTTCGATCGTGAGTGCCATTCTTTAGGCCATGAAGCCTCCGGGAGTTCAGTATTTATGGGATGGTTGTCCGGTTTTCAGTAATAGCAGAAAGCTTATGGTTCAATTATTAATAGCTTTTCCTTGGTTATCAAAGATTAGATCAGCAAAGTGTGATCGCTTTTGCCTAGGAATCACTGTCTGTCAGAACATACTCTGGTGATGACCCTTCTCTACATGGTCCTCATATGGTATCTTCTGCAGCTTTTTCTATTGATCCTACTGCCGTGAAAGTGTTTTGAAGCCCCTGTCAACAGCGGGGACTACATGGTCGTAGGCTGTAGGGTGGATGTCGAAGTGGAGGTAGGCAGTTGTGCCCTATGCTGTGTTGTGCCCAAAAGAGGCCTGGATATCATTCTTGATAGGTACTTCTTTCGGTTTATCGTGAAAAAGCACATAAAGGGTCTGGTAGCTGGCTGAAAACAGCAAAAGTCGCCTCCCTGACGTTTGATGCGCTAATGTACACAGCCACTCCTCCATATCTTTTGAACTGCCTGCCACCTCGGACAAAGGTCACGTTAGGCAGAGATATTTTCCTGTCAACTATGTCTGACGAGAGGCGTGTCCCCATAGTGAAAATTATATGTGCGTAAGGATTATAGCACATTGTTCTTAGCCCCAATGGCTCGTTTATCAGACCTATTGCACTACCAAGGAAGCACGTCGAGAAGCTAACTTCTCGCCTTAGTGAGAAAGGACAAAATCTTAAGAGACTAAAGAATTGTTGCGCGGGATACCGAATGCCAACCCTACAGGACTGGTAGGCTTCCGGGTCTCATGCAATCCTGGTGTTCACGGGAAGGTGGTGTTAATCAGTATGCTCGAAGCCACAAGATAATCAGACGACCAGGGTGTCAGGAATCGTATCGATAGCCAGGTAACCTCCGAGATACTTTGGCGCTCGTTAAATTCGCAAATATATCAATCTTTGTATAAAAACACAAACCGAATTATAAGATAATTTAAGGACATCCTATGACATTGAGTCCTACCTTAAATTCCAGAAAATTACTCTCTATAACAAGTTTCCTACTTCCTATTTGTCTCTGAACACCTAAGACGTCAATTCCATCTACATGACAAGTGCCGTATATACCAAACTGGCCGCCGTAAAAGCCTCAAACCTGAGGCTTTGTGTCTGAGAAATAGAAAGCATCTAACCTCCAACGTCATATTTCTGCGCGAAATCTGAGAATAACTTCATTTCATAACCTCTGAAGTCCCCTCAAGTATAACCTAAGCGAAATACCAAACCACACGACAAACAATGTTTTCGCAACTATGCGGCTAAGTCCCCACCAAAATTCATAATCTGCCTTTAAGTATTTGATAACCTAATGCAAGAAGTTTCAGCCAGCTACCTTGCAATTTTTGAAACTACAAACTGCCAACTGCGCTTTTTGCTGTGTTAAAAAGGAAGAATTGTAATGAGTAATTACTTGTTTTACTGGCTGCAGAATGTTTTGGGGGGAAAGGTACCCGCCGGGTGGAAGAGGGGCTACCTTGTCGAACTCGCAAAGAAGAAGGACCTAAGTCTTTGGAAGAAGTGGAACGGGATTATGAACCTTTCCCTGCCCACACCAAGCCAAATATCAGGCCGTGTCATCCTGGAGACTAAAGGATGCTCTGGATTCAAAATCACGACCGGGACAGGCTGGATTCAGGAAGTACAAATCATATGCGGATCAAACTGCAACACTAAACATCATTATAGAATGGAGCACACAGTGGCAGTCAACTCTCTTCCTCAACTTCATCGACTTTGAAAAGGCCTTTGACAGAGTCGACCGAAAAATAATTTGGCAGTTGCTTCAACACTACGGTTTTAGTGCCACAAATCTTTATCAACTTCATTCAATAGCTATGTGCTATATGATGTTACATGCCAAGCGATTCAAAATGGAAGGCTGTCGCGCCTTTGAAGTGAAGATAGGAGTATGGCTAGGCCGCCTACTATCACCTACGATCTTCCTGATTATAGTGGACGCTTTCAAGCAGAAGGTCATCACTGGCCAGTAGGTAATCCAGTTTAGGTGGCTTACCATCTGACCCTCAGCGGGTGTTGTTGCTGGTTTTTTCCTGCAGTCCAGCCATTTGGATGGCGTTTAGCAGGTTTCAGCCGAACTTCCGGTCCGGGGTCGTGCCACCTTGCTCTAGGCTGAGGGTTGGAGCACTAAAGTGGCCAGCCATTAAAACTTGGTGGTGCCCTATTGTTGACACTGTGGATATTACTTGGAGTAGTTTTTGGTTGTGTTCCAAGTCTCTTTTAGAGGATCTACAGATTCTTTCAACTAGGAATTTCGTGTGTTTGACCGTAAAGTGGTACCAGTTACAGTCTGGGAGCTCTGTCAGTACTGTGTCAGTGGTTTGCTTATTTCTGAACCACCTGTTCATGTATGCTGCAACCCCTCTCCTTCCCTATGTTCTCCGTCTTTCCTGAACAGAATCATGTCCTCTATGTTAACTTCGGTGTCACATATGTCTGGTGACAACGGTGTTTCTGTCAGGATCATGATTTTCGGGACGAGGTAGAGACAGAGGGATCGGAGCTCTGACATTTTACTTCGGAATCCTCTCACGTTGCTGTAGAGACACTCGGAGGTGCTTCTCGTAACGTGAAACGTTTCTGGGTTAACTAGTGGCACAGGTTTGGATGCAGGGGCCTGTACTGACTGGCTATTTCTAATGGAACCGGCCCAGTTAGGTTTCTTCCCGCGTCGACAGGTGTATTCGGTGTTGGGTGGGGTTGCTGGTCTGACTCTTAATGTTTAGGTTTGGGGTTACAGTGGCCTGAGCGCAGAGAGTAACCGCTGTCTGTTGTTGTCTCAGTGTTCTTCGGTCTGCTTTCACAGCAGCTAACGTTGCCACTTATGGTGCTCTTGGTTTTGTACCACATCTCCAGCACTCTGGTGAGTACTTCTGGAGATTCGAAGTTGAAGTTGGTCTAGGTGAGGTCATGGTTATCAGATGCGAGGGGCGTGGCAGTCTGCTAATTATCGCAGCTGCAACCCCACTCAGCTCCATCCGAGCCGATAACCTTTCTCATTGTTTGACGTCATGTGCGTGCTTATCACCTGAGCTACCGGTCACCATTTCAGGTATTCCATGTACGACCATGGTTGTGGGTTTCAGTGGACCAGCTGGTTCTCGAGACGTCCTTCTTGATACCCATGATCAGTCAGATCTAGCTCTCATGTTGAACGATCAGCGCGTGTGTGACAGTGAGAGAAACTTTTCGGCGTCCCTAGTTGAGCTTAGAGTCACTCTCACCGGCGGAGGCTTCCCTGTGGGTGAGTAGTTGCATTTATACGGTCGATGCAGCCTTGCCTCGAGAGCGTCTAGACCCAGTATGGCACAAAGGGAGTTCCACTGCTGCCTATCAGACTTGTCCCTATGCTCCAGAAGGTTATCTTCACAGACAGGAACGTTAAACAGAATGATAGAGTTACATCGGCCAGTGATGCAATTGTTATCCGATCCCATTGGTGTGTTTTCACGGATGCTTCGAGCCTTTTTCTCTACCTTGACCCATTCCTTCTGTTGTCCGCTGGTTGCTGTCTCTGGTGAGGCTCCAAAGCTCGAGGTGGATGCGGTTGCCGTTGGTGTAGGCAGTCTTTCGTTTGGCTCAGAACTTCTCAGGTTTTTGACCTTCAGTGGGCCATTGCCAAAATCCTCTGGAGAGGGAATATCCTCTGTGACTGGTTTGGACGGATACCTGCTTTTTGGTTACCGGAGACTTATCGGTTACTCTAAGTTTGCATGAAGCTAGGTGCGGTCTCAGACGCCACTGTGGGCGATTTTAAAAGAACCACGTGCACGGGTGACACGCCACAAAGCTAAAGTACTGGTGTGTCACTTCTTCGTCGCATCGGCGGTGCGCCTATCTGTTGCAGCTGTTGCATTCAAAGGCGGCATCACTTTTGGTAACGGTGAGAGCACATGTGTTGCAGTTGTCATTACGTCCATGTGGTTTTCCAAACTCTTCCGCCCTACTCTTTGACGTTTCCGCCTAGTGGTTCTCACTGAGAAGTCAGGGTGGGCACCAGGAGTAGCATGGGGCTCTGGGTTTACCTGACTAGAAATAGTGACGTTTACAGTGCCGGAAGGACTGGCTGGATGGCTAGCTTCGAGTGTTGCAGGCCGTGATTGTGACCGATCGGTTGAGGTGGACCTAGGTGTCGCGTCTATATCCTCATTTGCTTTCTTTGTCGCGTTTTGGCGTTTCGTAGCTCCAGTCCTTGTAACTACTGAAAATGAGGTGGTCAGTAGCTGTGGCGAGACTGTACTCGAAGCATTTCTACTGCTTGCCTTTTTCGGCATCAGCACACTTTTACCAAGCATATTTACAAACAGATGAAGATAATAACAGTTTCGATAAAAGAAGTAGAGCAATGAAAATGCACAGCGAGTAAACAAAAGACTTTCGACCTTACCTTCAACTGTCTGTTCCTGCGACTCTGTCGAATTTCAAAAACTACCAAGTCACGGACGCAGAGGCTAGTGAGATATATTTTGCTGCAGATGCAGCACTCTGAGCTATAACAGTTGGTCGAGGCAGCTAGACCTACCACATGGCTGCCTGTTTTGAATGTAATAGTGGTGATGAAGTAGGCAGCGGTACGGTCTGCAGCTAGGTTGTTGCAAAAACGTTGAATGAGTTGAAAGCTCCTAGTGGATAGTCGTAAGTGTGGATTTTGTCGAGATGGATGGATAGGAGCAAAACACGCCACTCTTCACTATCCCTGACCCTGTCTAGCGACCAGTCTTAACAACTGTCTGGCAACTCGACATCTGAAGAAGCCAACTGCACCACAGTCCAAGGCAAACAAACCAACACTTAACTTCCTGTTCTGTAAATCAGGGCTGTGGCAGACAAGCAGCTGGATCTACTGCATCGGAATCCATCAAAGATCTGGAGCCGTTCCGTGAGACCAAGAAGCGAGCAAGCAGAAATCTACTGGTTTACACAAGCTCGTTGAGAAGACATTGGATATTCGAAAGCTTCTAGTTTGAGGCTCTTACGGCGGCCAGTTTGGTATATACGGTACTTGTCATGTAGATGGAATTGGTCTCTTAGATGTTCGAGACAAATAGGAAGTAGGAAACTTGTTATAGAGAGTAATTTTCTGGAATTTAAGGTAGGACTCAATGTCATAGGATGTCCTTAAATTATCTTATAATTCGGTTTATGTTTTTTTACTAAAATTGTTATGTATGCACTTCTTTGGGTTAAAGCTCATATTTACTTCGGATATTTCACATACTTCAGGGATAATTTTTAAGCTGATGTGATTGGGCGGAATGTAAAGCGTTCTTGTTATGTAGGCTTCTTAAGTTTCCCTAGGATTGCTATATATATTATTATTATTATTATTATTAGTCCCTTGGGTTCCTAGTGGAACATAGGGCTTCAGTAGCACGCCTCCAGTGACCTCTGTTCTCTGAGATCTTTTGAACCTGGTTCCACGACAGCCCAGAAGCTCTCATTTCCTCCTCGCATGACCTCCTCCATGTCACCCTCGGACGTCCAACTCGTCGCTTCCCATGGGGATTCCACTCGAGGGCCTGACGCGTGATGTCCTCAGTCGGCCTTCTCAGTGCATGGCCAATCCATCTCCACTTCTTCCTGCATATTTGTTGCGTGATAGGTTCTTGGTTGGTTCGTTCCCAGAGTTCCTTGTTGCTTATTTTTTCTGGCCATCTGATCTTCAGCAGCGAGCGTAAGCAGTTGTTGATGAATGTCTGTAGTTTATTGGAAATCCCTTTCGTGACGCGCCAAGTCTCTGAGCCATACAAGAGCACTGACTTGACGTTGGTGTTGAAAATCCGTATCTTGTTCCAGATGCTGAGTGCAGAAGATCTCCACACTGGTTTCAGGCTAATGAACGCCTGTCTTGCTTTTCCGATTCTGACTTTGACGTCCTCGTCCGTCCCGCCTGTAGTTGAAACAGTGCTTCCTAGATAAGTGAAGGAGGTTACTTCCTTCAAGTTTCTCCCGTTGACGGTGATTGGAGTTTGTTGTTGTTGTTGTTGATGGTGGTGGTGCGGTATCTTCATCACTTCTGTCTTCTCTATATTCACCTGAAGTCCCGTCTTAGCTGCCTCTTCTGTCAACTTGTTAGTTTTTGCCTGCAGATCTTCAAGTTTATGTGACATTAGGCATAAGTCATCGGCGAAATCCAAGTCTTCTAGGTTCTTTTCCGTCGTCCAGTGTATCCCCCTCTTCTCGCTGCCTACTGTTTGCTGCATGATCCAGTCCACCACAATAAGGAATATCATGGGGGATAGTAGGCAACCTTGTTTCACTCCTGTCTTCACTTCAAAGGCATCACTGAGCTTCCCATTGTGGATTACTTGGCATGTGGCATCTTCATATAGTTGTTGAATGAGGCGGATAAAGGTTTGCGGTACTCCGTAGTATTGAAGCAGTTTCCAAATTACTTCTCGGTCGACGCTGTCAAAGGCCTTCTCAAAGTCGATGAAGTTGAGGTAGAGAGCTGATTGCCATTCTACGCTCTGTTCTATGATGATACGAAGTGTTGCAATTTGGTCAGCACATGATTTGTACTTCCTGAAGCCTGCCTGTTCCGGTCGCAGTTTTGAATCCAGTGCGTCTTTAAGCCTCTCCAGGATGATGCGGCTTAATATTTTACTTGGGGTGGACAGGAGAGTGATTCCGCGCCAGTTCTTGCAAGCACTGAGGTCTCCCTTCTTCGGCAGTTTGACAAGGTAACCCTTCTTCCAATCGTCAGGTACCTTCTCTTCCTTCCACACCTTCTGCAATAGTGGTGTGAGCATGTCCGCTGTTGTCTCTGCATCTGTTCTCAGTGCTTCTGGCGGTATTCCATCTGGTCCTGCTGCTTTCCCGCATTTCAGTAGCTTTATGGCGTTCAGGACTTCCATTTTCGTTGGGGGATTTATGTTCACTTGTAATTCAGCGGCTGCAGGTGGTATTTCTGGACGAAGTGCAGGTGGTGGTCGATTCAAGAGCTTCTTGAAGTGGTCGGCCCATCGTTTCCTCTGTTTCTCTTCTTTTGTAATTAAATTTCCTTCTTCATCTTTTATTGGTTTCATCTGTGTTGGTCTCTTCCCTGATAGCAACCTGGTTATTTGATACAATGTCGTCAGGTCTCTCTTACCTGCAGCCTGTTCTGCTTCACTTGCCAGTGTTTCGTAGAAGTGTCTTTTGTCTTTGCGTGCACTCTTCTTCACTTCTTTGTCCAGTGTTTTATACATTGTGCTCAGTTCCTCTTGTCGTTGAGCATCCTTGCACTGGTTTATCTTCTGCTTCACCATCCTCCTCTCCTCTATCAGCTTCCAGGTATCCGTCGAGATCCATTCCTTGTCTTCTTTCTTCTTCCTTCCTAATACTGTTGTGCAGGTTTCTTTCCACATAGCTTTCAAAGACTTCCAGTGTTCTTCCACACAGGTTTCTTCAGGGATGTCCCTCGATGTCTCCCATTTTGTCTTGATGGCTGCCTTGAAGATCTCCTTTGTAGTTTCATCCTTCAGTTTCCGAGTGTTGTACTTGAATTGAGGTCTATCACCAGCTTCCTTGAAGGCTTTTAACTTGATTTGGAAGGTTCCTTGCACTAGATAGTGGTCTGAACCTACATCTGCTCCTCTTCTTGACCTTGTGTTAAGTAGACTGCGTCTCCATTTTCTTGAGATTGAGATAAAGTCGATTTGATTTTTAGTGTGTCCATCTGGTGAAGTCCATGTCGCTTTGTGGATATCCTTGTGCCTGAACACACTGCCTCCAATCACCAAATCGTTGAATGCACAGAATTCTGCAAACAATTCTCCATTCTCATTCATTTCACCTAGCGCCTCTCGACCCATGGTTAGTTCTCTTCCTGTGTTGTCCCCTCCCAGTTTGGCATTCATGTCGCCCATTAGAATTTTGATATCGCCAACTGACGTCTTGTCCAGTGTTGATTGAAGTTGTCTGTAGAATTCCTCCTTTTTCTCTTGCTCTGCATTATTTGTAGGTGCATAACATTGTATGATTGTGACCTTTCTTCCTTTTGAGTTGAATCTTGCTGTCATGATCCTGGAGGAGATTGGTTCCCACTGCATGAGAGCCTTCGATGCTCTTGAGGACATCATGATAGCCACTCCCTCAGTGTGCTCGTGGTTGGCGTCTGGGTGACCGGAGTAGATTATTGATTCTCCAGTTGACAGTTTGGAGAGTCCACTCCCATTCCATCTGCTTTCGCAAATCCCAAGCACTTCGATGTTATACCTTCTCATCTCCTTTGCAATCTGGGCTGCCTTACTGGGTTCAAACATCGTACGGACATTCCATGTCCCCACGTTTACTTTCGCTTTCATCGAGAGAAGACACATCGGCCAATTGGCTTCCCGAAGGCTTTCACCAACTGGCGTCATTTCGCCTCTCCGATTCCAGCGGGGAATAAGTTTGTTTTCATTTTTTATATTTTGTTTGTGCTTTGAAGTTTCTTTAGCGGTTAGATTTGTTTTACGGGGTAGGGTTGCTAGCCCTATGCCCAACCTTCCCTCTTTACCCGGGCTTAGGACCGGCTAGTAACTAGTAAACTAGTTAACCAGGCGAGGTTGCTATATATATATATATATATATATATATATATATATATATATATATATATATATATATATATATGCAATCACATTCAGTTACAGAGGTTGATGGGTCCATGGGTTCATTTGGAATGTTTGTGATACGTATTAAAGCTTACTAAACACCAAATATGTTACACCTATTGATGAGTTTATGCTTTCTTATACGTTGTAGTCGAAGTATCTATTATAATGTATTGTCTTCAGTACTTCCCTATTCGTCACGTTTGTTTCCCCACTTTTATTAGTTTGCGACATTCGGAAGTTTTTCACTTGATTTGAGTATTAGAGTAAACTTATCACAGAGCTCATATGGCCCAGTTGTGTATCTGTTTAGACACAATGTGTAGCAAATGTACAAGGAATTAAAATCAGCGAGTGGTGAATCAGAAGGATAAAAGTGGCAACTGAAAATTAATGACTTACTGAGTGACTATGTACAGCATACTATGATGTTTTAGATCTGTTCTTTGTGTTAGGTGTAGATCTTTTGTGTTCACAATTCCGTGATCTCAAGCTTAAGCAAGTTTCCGAACCAATCGTAACTTCAGTCTTTCTCTAGTCCAACTGAAGTCAACTCTAGCTTTAATCCGTGTCTAATCTTAACATATCCTGTGGAAACATTTTCCCACCTCACTAATATATCTATTGTTTGGTGGTCCCAGGTAACAGTTTGGAATCGTTTATCAACTCGGTTTCTGGTTTGCTGTTTGTTATATTTACCTCATCGGCAGGGAAGACTCGAAGGAAGACCGTAATACACGTATTATTGTTCATAGATGCGAAGAAAGGTATGGCTACGTCAGTGTTTTGTGTCCTTGTCAACTTAAGCTTCCTGTATTTCATATCGGCTGTTTCTCAAACACCAGCTAATTAGGGCTTTGATAAGTCGAAAACATCTCGGCATGATCACTTTGTGGCTTCTCATCTACTACTTGAGGTAGTATGACTGACTTGGGCTTGGTATGCGTAGCCTATGCACGTCGTTTTAGTAAATAAATATTTACAGTTGCCAATTTTTAGTTGAACACTTCGTCTGACATCAACATTTCTTCTTGGTAAAAAGCTTCACGAGGGTATTGGTGACGAGATGCCTCTAAGCTTATCTATCATGAGTGGTTGTCAGCTGAATGGTAGGACAATACACTGCTACTCAACATATTTGGTTCTTCATAAGCTCCTAAATGTCTCACCTCTTGTATATGCTGTGTAGATAGTCAAGAACTAGTTTTATGTATTCTTGTTGCAGCTTCATCGGTGCTACTTCCCCAGCAGGGATTAAAAAATCACAAGTGTTCGTCAGTGCACCTTATCTCTATATTTTACTAGGTCCTAACAGGATAGTATGCTATCTTGGAAGTAGACTAGTCCGCCAATATTTTGATGGATATCTGCGTAAGTCCATCAATGGCAATATAATAGCAACGGAAATATATAAATTCCAATTCAACTTGTCACAGCCACCTCAGATATTTGTCATAACCGGTGTTCAGTATATAAGCTTTAGGATATGACGTGTCAGAAACCGTCTATAATA